TCATGCTAAAATCATGCTAACAACATGCTAATTCATGCTAAAATCATGGTAGTAACATGTTAATTCACGCTAGAATCATGCCAATAACATGCTAATCTATCTATCTATCTGTCTATCTATCTATCTATCTATCTATCTATCTATCTATCTATCTATCTTTTCTTACTTTTTAAAACTGTTTAAACTAAATAAACTATTACCGTCAGGCTTTCACAAGCCAGCCTCAAAGTTTGTTCTCAAACTTTAAGAATCTAGTTATTATTCTGCTTCTTTCTTCTGAGACTAATTTTAAAGTCTATCTCCTCCTAACCCTTTCAAGCTTCATACCTCAAACTTTCGTCAAACCTTCAAACTGGTCTGACTCGGGTTGCTATATCTTTTCCGACTGATCCGACTTTCGGTTTTCCGAAAAACGACCCGGAAAATTCCCAAAATTCCCATTGACTTAACATTGGGTCAAACTTTGTGACCTCATAACTCTGCATTAGACTGTCCTACAGACTTCTAACTGGGCTCATTTAACTCAGTCTAGCCAGCAGCCAATAACTGATGACCTTTAAACTTACTAGCCACTCCCTAGCAACCACTTTTGGCACCCTAGCAACTGTCCCATAGACTTCCATTGTAAAAGACTGCCATTGACTTAACATTGAGTCAACCTTTGTGAGCTCATAACTCTGCATCAGACTGTCCTACAGACTAGAGTCAGGCCCCATTCAACTCAGTCTAGTCAGCAGCCAATCACTGATGACCTTTAGACTTACTAGCCACTCCCTAGCAACCACTTATGGCACCCTAGCAACTGTCCCGTAGACTTCCATTCAAAAGACTCTCATTGACTTAACATGGGATCAAACTTTGTGAGCTCATAACTCTGCATCAGACTGTCATACAGACTAATGGCTGAGCTCATTTAACTCAGTCTACCAAACTGCCAATAACTGATGAGCTTTTAACTTTCTAGCCACACCCCTAACTACCACATACTGCACCCTAGCAACTGTCCCGTAGACTTCCATTACAAAAGACTCTCATTGACTTAACATGGGATCAAACTTTGTAAGCTCATAACTCTGCATCAGACTGTCATAAAGACTAATGGCTGAGCTCATTTAACTCAGTCTAGCCAGCAGCCAATCACTGATGGCCTTTTAACTTTCTAGCCACACCCCTAACTACCACATACTGCACCCTAGCAACTGTCCTATAGAATGTAATTAGCTGTGCTATCAAATGCTTATAATTCTAACATGCTAATGACATGCCAATCATGCTAGCAACATGCTACTCATATGCTAATCATGCTAATGACATGTTAACTCATACTGGAAACATGCTAATGACATGCTAATTTGTACTAGAATCATGCTAGTAACATGCTAATTCAAACTAGACTCATGTTAATAACTGGCCTACATGCATATCTTTGCATAGCAGTGTCCTATTGACTTGGGGGATGGCTCATCTGACTCAGACAACCAATGAGCATCTCAATATGATAATGAAGCTCACAAGCCACGCCCCCAAATTGATTCCATAGACTTCCATTAAAATAGGCCAAGATGCATATCTTTGCATAGCAGTGTCATAGAGACATGGGGGTTGGTTCATTCGACTAAGACAACCAACCACATTCAAGTTCACTCTGTAACCTCGCCCATAGCAACAAAACAGAGTACCCTAGCAACCATTCATCAACAGCTATATCTCAGCATCAGAACATCGTAGAGACTTGGAGATTGGCTCGTTTGACTCATGCTAGCAAACGGAACTTCCTATATGCTACACATGCTAGCAGTGACTAGCTACATGCTAATATTGACTAGCCCAGTACTGTAACTTGCTAGAAATGCTTACTAAGTATAAATGTTTTATCAATCATGTATGTGAGGCTTGCCTAGTAACCAACCAGGGTACCCTAGCAACTGCCTAGCAACCACCCAAATTACCCTAGCAACCGCCTAGCAACCACCTAGCAACGGCCTAGTAATGCCTTAGTAAGGGCCTAGCGACCACTCAGGACACCCTAGCAACCGCCTAGCAACGCCTTAGCAACCACTCAGAATACCTTAGCAACCACCTAGCAACACCTTAGCAACCACCTAGCAACCACTTGGGACACCTTAGCAACCGCCTAGCAACACCTTAGCAACCACCTAGCAACCACTCAGAACACCCTAGCAACTGCCTAGCAACGCCTTAGCAACCACCTAGCAACCACTCAGGACACCCTAGCAACCACCTAGCAACACCTTAGCAACCACCTAGCAACCACTCAAGACACCCTAGCAACCACCTAGCAACGCCTTAGTAACCACTCAGAACACCCTAGCAACCATCTAGCAACTACTTAGGACACCTTAGCAACCACCTAGCAACACCTTAGCAACCACCTAGCAACCACTCAGAACACCCTAGCAACCGCCTAGCAACACCTTAGCAACTACCTAGCAACCACTTAGGACACCCTAGCAACCCCCTAGCAACACCTTAGCAACCACCTAGCAACCACTTAGGACACCCTAGCAACCGCCTAGCAACACCTTAGCAACCACCTAGCAACACCTTAGCAACCACCTAGCAACCACTCAGGACACCTTAGCAACCACCTAGCAACACCTTAGCAACCACCTAGCAACCACTCAGAACACCCTAGCAACCGCCTAGAAACACCTTAGCAACCACCTAGCAACCACTCAGGACACCCTAGCAACCACCTAGCAACACCTTAGCAACCACTCAGAATACCCTAGCAACCACCTAGCAACCACTTAGGACACCTTAGCAACCACCTAGCAACACCTTAGCAACCACTCAGAACACCCTAGCAACCGCCTAGCAACACCTTAGCAACCACCTAGCAACCACTCAGAATACCCTAGTGACCACCTTGCAACACCTTAGTAACCACTTAGCAACTAGTCAGAACACCTTAGCAACTGCCTAGCACCACCTTAGCAACCACCTAGCAACCACTCAAAACACCCTAGCAACCGTCTAGCAACACCCTAGCAACCACCTAGCAACTAGTCAGACCACCTTAGCAACTGCCTTGCACCACCTTAGCAACCACCTAGCAACCACTTAAAACACCCTAGCAACCGCCTAGTAAAATGCTAATTCATGCTAGAATCATGCTAACAACATGCTAATTCATGCTAGAATCATGCTAGTAACATGCTAATTTATGCTAGATTTATGCTAACAACATGCTAATTCATGCTAGAATCATGCTAGTAACATGCTAATTCATGCTAGAATCATGCTAACAACATGCTAATTCATGTAAGAATCATGCTACTAACATGCTAATTCATGCTAGAATTATCCTAGTAGCATGCTAATTCATGCTAGAATCATGCTAGTAACATGCTAATTCAACCACTTCAAACTTTCAGATTCGGCTTTTCAAGCCACCATAAAGTTTGTCCTCAAACTTTAATATCTAGTTATTATTATTATTATTATTAATTTAATAATAATAATAATAATAATAATAATAATAATAATAATAATAATAATAATAATAATAATATTAATATAATAATAATAATATTAATATAATAATAATAATAATAATAATAATAATAATAATAATAATATTATTATTATTATTATTATTATTAACGCAGCAGCACGAGTGGTCTTCAATGAACCTAAAAGAGCACATGTCACTCCGCTGCTCATCCGTTTGCACTGGCTGCCAGTTGCTGCTCGCATCAAATTCAAAGCTCTGATGTTTGCCTACAAAGCAACTTCTGGCTTTGCTCCTTCTTATCTGCTCTCACTTCTGCAGATTTATGTGCCCTCCAGAAACTTGCATTCTATGAATGAACGTCGCCTCGTGGTTCCATCCCAAAGAGGGAAGAAATCACTATCACGAACGCTCACGCTCAATCTGCCCAGTTGGTGGAATGAACTCCCTAACTGCATCAGAACGGCAGAGTCACTCGCTGTTTTCAAGAAACGACTAAAAACTATTTAGTCTCCACTTCACTTCCTAATCTGCAAGTGCCTCTCTGGATTTACCACTAACTGTACTCAAAAAAAAAATTATTACTAAATTACTAAAAAATTACTAATACTTTCCTTCTTAGACTTTATAGACCTGAAACTTGCCTATAGCACTTATTCATTGTTGCTCTTATAGTTGTGTAAATTGCTTCCTTGTCCTCATTTGTAAGTCGCTTCGGATAAAAGCGTCTGCTAAATGACTAAATGTAAAGTAAATGTAATATTATTTTATTATTATTATTATTATCATTATGTCCTCTTCCTGATTTCCCATCCTCCCCTCAACACCTCACTATTATCATTACTTTTGCTTTTGTTACCATTATTATTATTATTACTGTTCTGACGTGTCCTCCTGTTATCTTCTCATTATCAAGTATTTCTACCATTGTCATTATTCAGGTTGCTGTAGTTGTTGCTGTAGTACTAGTAGTAGTAGTAATCATTGTAGTAGTAACGATGGTAGTTGTAGTTAAGATTGTTGAAGTAGTAGTTGTAGTACTTTCTGTAGTGGTAGATGTCATTGGTATTGTGGTATCTGATATAATAGAGGTGTTGTTGTTGTTGTTGTTGTTGTTGTTGTTGTTGTTGTAGTAGTAGTAGTAGTCGTTGTTGGTGTAGTAGTATCAGAAGCAGTAGATGTTGTAGTAGCAGTGATTGCTCTAGTAGTAGTAGTAGTAGTAGTAGTAGTAGTAGTAGTGGACATTGTTGTAGTAGTATCAGTTGTAGTAGACGCTGTAGTAGTATCAGTAGTAGTAGTCATTGTTGTAGTAGTAGACATTGTAGTAGTAGTAGTCTTGGTTGTGGCTGTAGTAGCAGCAGAAGTAGTTGTAATATTAGTAACTTTCCGTAGTAGTAGTTGGTGTAGTACTTGTGATTTATTATTATTGTTGTCATTGAAAAAAAATCTCTCCCTTAAACATCACTTCACAAGAGGCCTAATAACTTTGTCTTCAACTGTAAATTTTCATGCATTTCACATTTAGGGTGATCGGGGTAACCCAGGCCCACACGGACCATCAGGGCCTAAAGGTGATGGATTCCCTGGTCCAGTGGTGAGCAATTTTCCATCCCTGTTTAAGCATTACTGTGTGCTAAGACATCACTGAAAAGACACTGTACACTGTAAATTCCCTTTTGCTAAGGTTTTATGCTAGCTATCTCAGCATGTTTGTATCTCTTTAACAGGGTCTGCCTGGTTTACCGGGCCTACCAGGAGAGCCCGGACCCGAAGGCGTTGGTGTTCCTGGACCCAAGGTGATATCTTTACCTGAACAACATGCATCTATGGCTATTCTAAAAGATATGCTCTGAAACTTTTAACGCTTGTGTACATTGATTCATTATTCACACAATGGCAACAGAATTACCAAGATAGAAATAAAGAGTAAACATTAGCCTAATAAGCTCACTGGAAATGTCATATTTTTTGCTTGGTATTTTTAAACTGAATCATTTAGTACTATCATACGACTCTCTGTAAATTAAACAGTCATGATAAACTGTTGAACAGCAACAAATTTAAATTCAATTTAACAATTTAATAAACAACAGCAAATATACAATTTAAACATGACATCCAAAGAATACAAATGTAACTAATAACATAAAATAAAATAAAAACCTAACCAATGGACAGCAAAATTACTAATCAATTAACTTCAGCTCCTTTGCCACAATAATTGCATTTTCACATTTTTCGCTCTTAATATTTTGGAGCGATTCTATATACAAATGAAAATCTGTAATAGCAACCTTTAAACAAGGTATAGTGCTATTTAATCTGCATTTTTGAACATGAAATTTACCAAACAAAATCAAAAGATTCAATAAAAATTCCACGGATAAATTGTTAAATTGTTTGAAAAAAATAAAGAATAACATATTTATGGGTCAAATTACAACTAAAACCAGAATCTTTTATTTATTTATAATTATTTATTTTTAATTTTTTATTCATTTATTTATTTATTTTTTTGCCATACAATGATCTTCCCAAAATTTTTTTTAAAAAATCAGAATCATAAAAAAGATGAATCAAAGTCTCTGGGTTATGTAAACAGAATAAACAGTTTCCATCCGTCTGCATAAATTTAGTTAATGTGATTACTTACTCATGTTTGAATTTGTTGATTTCAAATGATGATGTCACTTCCTGGTGGATGATGTCATTTTGTAGTTGACAAGCTGTAAAACAAAACAAAAATATTTAAAATAAATAATAATTAAAAACGATATTCAGGAGAAAATACATTTGAAATATTGTGACAAGAGAAAGGAAAAAAGAAATAAGAAACTTTTGATTCATTCATTCATTTTCTTTTCGGCTCAGTCCCTTTATTAATCTGGGGTCGCCACAGCGAAATGTACTGCCAAATTATCCAGCATAAATTTCTAAAGTCAACAGCACCATTAGAAATGTTCTGAGAAAAATGGTGATGTGTTAAATATTTATTTCCCTCACTGTATATATAATAATGTCAAATAATCCTCATGAAGACTTACTGAGCATCTGGTAGTCCTCAAGACTGAAGTTCCACATCTTCGTAGCAGGATCTGTAATGCATAAGAAATATTACAGGCCATCAGATAATGTCCTTAAAGATTAACAAACACACATACACACATTATTGGCCTTATTCTGCGATGTGGAAGTGCGCTTGTTTTTGCGATTGTTTCAGAACTTGCATTACCATTAAAAATCAGAATAGCATCCACTCTGTCTATTTTTAAATCGATGTTAAAGACTGTTCTCTTTTCGAGTGCTTTCGCTAATGACAGTTCCAGACTTTACTAAACTGATTCTTTCTAGGAAACTTTTAATGTTGTTACTCATGTTTTACATTGTTGTATTTGCTGTAGTGTATTGTAAAGCACCTTGGTCGACCAAAGGTTGTAATTAAGTGTGCTCTAGAAATAAACTTTGATTTGATTTGATTTGATTTGGCTAGCATAAGTAAGCACTGCACTTTTGCCATGTAAAGTAGTTAAATGATTACCAATTTACACTGAATTATGAAATGGAGATAAAAGACAGCTAATGATTATGCAGCAATGAGTTTACACATTCAAAGATTTTGCCATACTGTATCTATAAGGAACATGAAAATGTACTGCACATTTGAAAAGGTGTTTTAGTAAACCTTGAATCTTTCTCTTCAGGGAGATGTTGGGTTCAGGGGCTTGCCTGGTTTGCCTGGACCACCAGGTGAAGGACTGCAGGGAAAGCAAGTAAGACTGACATTTATATTATCGCGCTGCAAACTCCCACATGAATCTCTCTGACTACAGTAATGAAGATACTGCATGCATCAGGAGTCTGTCTGTGTTTCTATGGGGATTGAGGAGGACAAGCTGTCTGTGTCGCCTCTATTAATTCTACTTAATTAATTCTTGCTGTTTCAGGGCAACATAGGAAGACCAGGTCCTCCAGGGCCACACGGGCCCCCAGGGGAAGGTATTCAGGGACCCAAAGTAGGTTATCTTTACACTAGTTGAAACATAAGGCGATGTAGCTACAATTAAAATAAAGTAGTCAACATTTGGAGGGGATTTAAAATGTTTTTCCGCGGGCTCTTGAAAAGTCTTAAATCTCAAAAACAAAATTTTAGACCTTAAAAAGTCTTAAACCTACTGAAATATTGTGTTGTAGGTAACCACCACCAACAATCAATCTCAATAAAACATTTTACTTCATTCATTCTTTCATTTTCCTTCAGCTTAGTCCATTATTTATCAGGGCTCGCCCCAGTGGTATGAACTGTCAACTAATCCAGAATATGTTTTACGCAACGGATGCCCTTGCAGCCTAACCCAGTACACTAAACACACATACACCCTCACATTTACACACACACACACATTATTGGCAGTTTAGTTCATCCACTTTACCTATAGCGCATATCTTTAGGGGAAACCCACGCCAACATGGGGAGAACATGCAAACTCCTCAGAGAAATGTGTGAGGTGTGAGGTGACAGTGCTAACCAATGAGCCACATTGTCGCCCCTTATTTATTTGTCTTATATTACAATTACTATTGTATTATATACTGTGTTTTTATTTATCTTCATCTATAATGTATCATTGTATTACAATATATTTTAATTTTAATTATAACTAACAGTTATTTAACTGTAAATCCTGCCATTGTGAGAGTGTAGTAAAACTAATGTTAACAAACACAACTTTCAATTTCAATAATGCATTAGATAATGTTGAACTATGATTAATAAACACTTTACAAGATTATTCATACTTAGCTAGTGTTAGTAAATACATTAACTAATGGACCGTATATATACATATAGCAAGGCAAATGGTGCTGTGAATGTAAATACAGTATTTTTGCTGTAATTGATTTGCTGGACGTTACAGTAGATTCTACAGAAAATTGTTAACAGAGTTGAAAAAAAAAAACGTATTTGTTGAATCCAACAGGGGGATCAAGGAGCTCCAGGAGTGACAGGACCGAGGGGCCCTTCAGGAGAGGGACTTCCAGGAGCCAAGGTGAATTTTTTGATTAAACTAATTAAAGGAAAACGAGTAATTGTAAACAATATCGCAAAGAAAATGTGAAGCTTGTGAACAAGAGAAGCATGCTGCATCACATGAGCTTTTTTGATGAAAAACAATTCATCTCAGGCTCACTGAAAATACATGCGTCAGCTTACCTTTTTTACGAAATGTAAAAATGTCGCTTCGGGTTAAGTTTAGTTACACTTTTTAGATGACAAATCCACTAGAGGGCGCTGTCTAAATTTTTACAAATCTGAAATGCATTCCTTTGAGTACGTTTTGTTGTATGTTTTAGATACACGTCCTTCTTGTACACCTACACAGGGGGTTTTCTTTCAGTTTTGCCTTGATTTTATAACTTTTGCAGAAGCATGCTTCACCGGACTTGAAACCGAGCAAACTGACCAAGCTAAAAAGTTGTCCATATGTAAAATAGATCGGCGAGGGAAACGTGTTTGATTACAACTTTGAAATTAGTTTCAGGGTTTAATTTGGTGTTGTGCAAAGAACTGCATGAAAATAATCCTTTATTCATTGATAATATGACCCTGTGTATATCAATAGTGTGAAAAGACAATTTTGTTGGTTTACACAAAAACTGCAGCCTTTTTATCAAAAATGAGTCAAAAATGAAGGCCTTGTCTCTGTGTCCTGCAGGGGGATCGTGGTCTGCAGGGCGAGAGGGGGTTTAAAGGAGGGAAAGGTGACATGGGAGATCCAGGCACTCCAGGACTTGCTGTAAGTTTGTTTAATATTATAAAACATCTTGTGGGAACATAGTGTTTTCTGTCTATATGTACATCAGCATATTTCACAAGTGTTCATATCTGTTCCTTTAGGGAAGACAAGGACTCAAGGGTGAACAAGGGCTCACGGTCAGTTAAACTGTTTTTGAAGTTTTCTCATCATTCGATTAGTTTAAACATGTGCAAGTGTAAACAATAGTAAACTCAGATTTTTCAGAGACAAAACAACAAAGCTGACTAAAGATGTAGGCCCCGTTTACACTAGTGTGTTTTAGTTTTAAAACGGCGTTGTAGAATGAAAACGATCCGCGTCCATACTCGCGTTTTACCCAGCGTTTCTGAACAGCTCTCCATCCACACCAAAACGCTGAAAACGCACATCACGTGACCACACAGACACTCTCGGGCAAGCGCTCCAGCATTTCTACCCAGATGAGAGCTCTGCTTGTCGGACTGCTCATCAAGCATCTCCCGCTGGATCTAATCTCACTATATTTGCTAAACGTGATATTTCATTCATGTTGTTGTCTTTATCTAACGACATAGGCCAATTCCCTGACTTTGGTCATTGGAATCTATTACTTGTTCACGGGTAACATGTTTTGGTTAAGCGCAAAGATAAGTTAATGATTAATCCAGGTACATTGACTGATCGCTTGCCTTTATTTCCTACAATGTATAAACTTATTGTATGTTATACTTTTATAATTATCGATTATTAATACTCATATTCAGTAAAAGAGAGGGTGCGTTTCGTATTTTCACTGAAATTGAAAGGAGGCAGTGTTGTTATAGGCTCCGTTTTGTTATAAATATCCACACAGTGAAGATGACGCTCATATATGCAGCACGGCGCCTCAACATTTCTGCTGTCTGTTAAGTTGCTAATATTAAAATGAAAATAGGCAGTTCCTTAAATCATGTTTACATTTTATTGTTGAGAAAGTGAAACAACGTAGCCAGGGTGATGTGAATGAAGTTATAAAGTACACTGTTCCCTGTGAAGATTTACCCGTGTCCTCGGTATGTTTTCCATATCAAACTGAGAAGGTGGAGACTGCAGCCTTGATCAAACTTGCGAAGTCTTAACTTACAAGAAGAGGATGCGAGACTGAACTGTGTGTGTTAGGCTACTTAATATTGAGGAAAAGCCCCAATCAAATAGGCGAACGTCTGCAGCCCCGCCTCCGTTTTCAGATGTCTCCGTCTTTCCCCATCCACACTGAGACGGAGCAGCAGCGTTTTAGAATGAAAACGGCCTCTCCAGCGTTTTCAAAAAGCTCCGTTTTCGGCGCTCGAGAACTCCGGCATAGTGTGGACGATGGCGTAACCGTAGCAAACCTTATGCGTTTTCAAACTAAAACGCACTAGTGTAAATGGGGCCGTAGTTTCAGTAAAACTATGCAATTTAGATATCAAATATAATCTTTTAAAAAGTTTAAACTAAACTAAACTAAATAAGCCCGTAGTTAATGACTTGAATTGTGACCTGAACTAAAGTGTTACTAAAGATATTTATGAAAGAAACTAAATTTGCAACCAGTTGCATATGTAAATATTAGTAAATGTAGTCATTTTAAATTATTTAGAGAGAGAACTTGATCAAACTTTTTTAGTTAATTTTAGGGAAACCATTTAACCATATAGGGGAGCACGGTGGCGTAGTGGGTAGCACAATCACCTCACAGCAAGGTCACTGGTTCGAGCTCCGGCTGGGTCAGTTGGAATTTCTGTGTGGAGTTTTGTATGTTCTCACTGCGTTGGCGTGGGTTTCCCCTGGGTGCTCCGGTTTCCCCCGCAAGTCCAAAAACATGCGGTATAGGTGAATTGGATTGGTTAAATTGTCCATAGTGTATGTGTGTGAATGAGTGTGTATGGGTGTTTCTCAGTGATGGGTTGCAGCTGGAAGGGCATCCGCTGCGTAAAAAACATATGCTGGATAAGTTGGCGGTTCATTCCGCTGTGGCAACCCCAGACTAATAAAGGGACTAAGCCGAAAAGAAAATGAATGAACGAATTTAACCTTATGATGTGTAAATTTTAACAAATTTAGTTTTCAATATTTTTTCAGAGACATAACTATGCAGAATAGGAAGTTCATATACATCGTAAATATTAGTAAATTCAGTCATTATTAATTAGTTTATAGAGAGAAAGCTGGTAATAATTTAATTTCATAATTTTAATAAATTTCTCATTCTAAGCATTATTAAATGTTTCAAAGTAAAGACCAAATAAATCTGATTATCCAGTGTTAAATTGATTCATAGTTAATGTACATTTTAGCAAAACTATGCATTAAATTGGTAAATTAATTTGTTCACAGATGAGGGAATTTATTTTTAGCAGAACTAAGCAGTGTGCCCTGTAAATATGATTAAATTCAGTAATTCCTCTATGTTTTTTTTTCAGAGGGAAGACATAATCAAACTGATTAAGGAGATTTGTGGTGAGTCTCAGACTTCAAAAATGCCTAAAATTATATATCTTTTTACATAGAATTGTTGTCTTGTTTCTAGGTCAAATATCCAAAACATTCCTTAATCAAGAAGCATTTTCTAGACAAGCAAAAAGCAAAGTGTCTTGTTTGCCAAAATAAGTCAAAATAAGTGAGTTTTTCCTTAAAGGGTCATGACACCCCCTACTTTCGGTTCAGGTCTACCTCAGAATTTTTAAAAAAAGCATGATAATGGGCGTGGAGCTCCACAAACAGGGCTTGAGTGGGCGTGGCTAACAGAAAGCAGGTGAGAAGGAGGGATGCAAACAACTGTTGTGTCATCTTTGCACTTGCAGTTTTGCGTTACATCGCCGATTTTGATCCCGTCCCAATAGTGATTTTAAACCTGGAAACTTAAATTAGTTGACAAAAGCTCCAAATTATCCAGTTTTCCCCACACTTACAGCTAACAGGTGCTAACGTTGTCTTAACTGATGCTCAACCCACACAAATCTATTAACATCTCAGAAAAAAGTACTTGAGGGTTTCGTGAACCTTTTAAACAAGCAAAATAATCGTACTCCAAAGAGAAATCAAGATTATTTAGCTTACCCCTTTTTCAGATTATTTACATTGGTGTAAAGGAAAAACTCACTTAATTTTGACTTATTATTTCTGTAAACAAGACAAGTTTTTTCTTTTGTAGAAAATGCTTCTAGAGTTTGGAATTATATGATATTTGGACTTAAAATATACAAAAACTTAAACTTAGAAAAGCATTATTTGCAATGTAAATAAATGATTTATGTATAAAAACACAGATATCCTCATATATTTCTAGGGTGTGGAATTAAGTGCAAGGAAAGGCCTATGGAGCTGGTGTTTGTGATCGATAGCTCTGAAAGCGTGGGTCCTGAAAACTTCGAGATCATCAAAGACTTCGTCATAGCTTTGGTGGATCGCGTGACGGTGGGCCGTAATGCCACAAGAATCGGTCTGCTCCTTTACAGTTTGGAAGTTCATCTAGAGTTTAACTTAGCCAGGTATATGACCAAACAAGATGTGAAAAAGGCCGTCAGGAACATGCCATATATGGGGGAGGGCACTTACACTGGCACTGCCATCCGAAAAGCCACGCAAGAGGCCTTTTTCAGTGCCAGGAACGGCGTCAGAAAAGTAGCCATTGTCATTACAGACGGGCAAACGGATAAAAGAGAGCCGGTGAAGCTGGATATTGCAGTTCGTGAGGCTCAGGTGGCAAATATTGAGATGTATGCACTGGGTATCGTGAACACATCTGACCCGACGCAGGCCGAGTTTCTGAGAGAGCTCAATCTCATCGCTTCAGACCCGGATAGTGAACACATGTTCCTCATTGATGACTACAACACACTGCCAGGTGACCGTCAAGTAAACACTCATTAAAATGTGTTAACATATACACTGTTATTGACAAAGACGGAGAGAAATTGATTATTTTCTTTGTTAAATATTACTCAAGTGATGACAATTTTCAGTTTTTCCAATAATATTAATACAAGTTTTTTAACTGGCTACAGAACATTAACTTAGCTTTTCAAGTTAACCAAATAATCATAGTTAGGCCTTAAATTGCACTTTAAGCTCAATACTAGTATCTCGCAAAATAACTAGAAAATATTATGTACTACTAAATTAATTAGTTATTAGAAATTTATTTCTGTTTAATAATGTGTTGAAAAAAATCTGCATGCAACAGCACTTGGGAAATATCTGAAAACGAATTCAAATTTCACAGGAGGGCTTAAAACTTTTATCTTTAACCATATTTCATTTATAAAATACAAGTAAATTATTGAATATTGCAAAAAGGAAATATAACAAAAATGTTTTAGAATATTAATTAAATAATACACTGTTTTAGCCATAGCAGGAAATTTAGGCAAATTTAGGTTTAATTTTAATTTATTTAAAATAAATTCAAGTCTGAGTCCAAATGAGTTTTTAAAGCGTTACAAATATATGCATTTAAAATACTGAATTCTATGATTTCAATGCTAAGACGATATACAGTATAGTAACAAGGTGAAAAATGTATTAAATATGATAAATTGTGTAGTTCATTTAAAATATTGCATTAAAAACATTATATAAATTACCAAAAACTGAGCAAAACATTTAAAATCAAAAAAGATGTTATATAATATTAAATAAATAATGCCGCATTTTTATAAGTCATATTTTGTAAAATTTAATATTAAACAAATTTCAAGAGGAGCACGTGCTCATGATTGACCCAGCTGGCTCACATTAGATAATCACGATCCTCCAATCAAAGGATCCCAAGTCACTTTATAAATCCTCATTTCTTTTCTACTACTATCTTTGTCTGGAAGAAACCCCCCTCCTCCCCTTCTTCCAATTTTAATCTGAATGAGCGGCACAGTGGCCCACTGACTAGAACCGTTGCCTCACAGCAAGAATACCAATGGCTTCATGTCTTCGCTACACCATCTGGTATTTCTGTGCGCAGTTTGCCTGTTCTTCCCGTGTCCATGTGGGTTAACCAACCATCCAAATATGCTTTATATTGTAGATAAAATAAGCCCAAGAATTTTTCTAAATGTCTTACTCTCAGGAAGTTCACCTTAGCCTTAGCAGCAGGGGAGTTTTGAGATCGATCTGAGCTCAATCTCCCCACGCCCGCCGACATGAATTAAAAAGTTAGTTTATGTTGCTTTCAGTGTTTATACGATCTTTTCTAACAAAGCCTTTAGGACTTAATAGCAAAAAATAAATACAATATACAGTTGAATTTAGAATTATTAGCCCCCCTGAATTATTAGCGCCCCTGTTTATTTTTTTCACCAATGTTTGTTTAATGGAGGGAAGATTGTTTCAGCACATTTCTAAGCAATATAGTTTTAAAAACTCATTTCTAATAACGGATTTATTTTATCTTTGACATGATGACAGTAAATAATATTTGACTAGATATTTTTCAAGACACTTCTATACAGCTTAAAGTGACATTTAAAGGCTTAACTAGGTTAATTAGGTTAACTAGGCAGGTTAGGGTAATTAGGCAAGTTATTGTATAACGATGGTTAGTTCTGTAGATTATCGGAAAAAAAATTAGCTTAAAGGGGCTAATAATTTTGTCCCAAAATTTTTTTTTTTTAATTAATAATGCTTTTATTCTAGTCGAAATAAAACAAATAAGACTTTCTCCAGAAGAAAAAATATTATCAGACATACAGCGAAAATTTCCTTGCTCTGTTAAAAATAATTTGGGAAATATTAAAAAAAAATCTAATCTAATCAAAAGGGGGCTAATAATTCTGACTTCAACTGTATACATAAAATAAAGCTACAATGTAAACATTCCATCACTAGCGAAATCATCTCGAAGAGTCATAAATAAAAATTAAAGGAGTTAAAGCTTAACTAAGTACACTGAAAAAATAGTTTTTGCTGTTTGTTAAAACTGCTTATTTAAAATGAACTGAAACAACACAATTCTTATTTTTTCAGACAACATTGTTTTATGTGCAATCCACTTAAACTTGTATAAACAATTAACTTAATCGATTTGTGTTGGGACAGCATGAATGTATTGTGTGGAACCCTGCTTTTTTCATTCATTCATTCATTCATTCATTTTCCTTCGGCTTAGTCCCTTATTTATCAGGGCTTGCCACAGCGGAATCAACCGCCAACTATTCCAGCATTTTTTACAGTGTAATCAACTAACCGCATCTTGCTCTGTGTTTGGTTTGTTTTTGCAGCTCTGGAGTCTAAACTAGTTAGCCAGTTCTGTGAGGATGAGAACGGAGCCCTTTACTTTAACCGGATCACCAACGGCTTAAACGGAAACAATGGATTTGGCTACAGTAATGGTCAAGAGGACATTTCCTCATACGGCAACACCGTTTATGGAAGCAGATTTCAGGAGTCACTAGACAGATCGCAGAGTCACACCAGAGGCAGAGGACACAGTATACCATTACCCATCAGCCCCGGGCCTCTCAAACCACAGGTCAGAAAACATCACTACACTGCGGAAAATCTAATTATTAAATCAAGATGCATTTTACAGACAAGTAAAAAATATAGTTTTTTTCTTTCAAGCTATTTTTTAAAATGTTTGCTGCTTGATCAAACTGAAGTGAAACCCACGTCAACACGAGGAGAGCATGCAAACTCCACACAGAAATGCCTACTGGCCCAGCCAGGACTCGAACCAGCGAGCTTCTAGCTGTGAGGCAACAGTGCTAACCACTGAGCCACTGTATCGCCTAATTTCATCTGATGTCTACCAGAAGTTATGTAAAGAGAGAAAACATCAATCATGTCAAAGTTGTCAGCAAATGCTATTACAGAACAAGAAAATAAATATCTATAAAACCCTCATTTAATTTAATAATGAGAATTGATCCCTAAAGTGTTCTCAAATGTACTAATTTTGATTGACTGGGATGATTCTGTAGGGGAGTGAATCATGCATAAAATGGAATAAGCAAACCACAAGCACGGATGAATGCAATAATGCAAAGATAAAAGTCAGATAAACAGTGCATGCTTTATGGTTTTGTATTTTTAAATTAGTTAAATTAAATTAATTTAACTAAATTAAATTAGTGAAATTAAATTAATTTTAAAAAAGTATTACGTATGCACACATAGCAATATTGGTGCTAAAACAATGTACAACATTGTGCAGCCCTACTTTATATGTAAAATTAACAGTGTTAATTTCATTGTGTGGTTTTAAAAAGTTCTTAAATATAACTCTTATAAACCAGCAGATACTAAACAAAAACTCTGAAGTGGGAAAAGCTTTTTTTGCTGTGTAAAATTAGTGTCAATTACACACTCAAGCAGATTGAACATATTTTGTGTTGTCTGTGCTTTGCAGGTGGAGAATGACTCTGACGGAGAGGATCTGGATATAAAAACACAAACTAAAAGTGGAGGAACGGTTGTGGTTGTCAATAAAACAGTCCAACCTGCACAGCCTGGCACATCATCATCATCATCTTCAACAGTCTCACTTTCTTCCTCAGTATCAACGCATTCTACTTCAGTGAATGTGGACACGAAGCCTCGTCCTGTAGTGATAAAAGGTAATACATAAACACATTACAGCACACCAATTAACTCTAAGTTTACCAATTAACTAAGTCCTGAACATTTTTTTGAACGAAACCAGGCCAAAACAAAAGTGTTTTGAAACAGTTTCACAAAATGAACTTTTAAGCAATTTTCAATAGCTGGTCAATGTATTACACGGTGGTAATGTAATTAGTGGGTGTGGCTCTGATGCTCTGCCTACTTCAGGCAAAGCAAGGCAAATTTATTTAGATATATAAGAGTTTGGTAATTCAAACTGCTTTACATAAACAAGAATAAAAGAAACAAAGCTAATAGGTTTAACTGCAGTTGTGTGGCAACAGTGTGTGTATATAACCAGCCTCTAATGGTAAAAATGTATTAATAAAAAAAAATTTATAAGCACACTTGATAAAAACAAGTCTCCCTTTGTACATGTCAGCAGAGGGTGAAAGCCCCGCCCATTAGTGATAATCTCTCCCTCATTAGCATAGGACATTAGTCTTTATTTTGAATCTGCCACAATGCTGACACACGCATTTCAGCTCCGCCCTCTTTTGAAAACAGCACAATCTCATTTGAATTTAAAGCGACAATTACCCAAAATAACACAATTAGGGACAAAGCCTAAAAGGGGCAGCTTCAAACAGTTATAAAACAATACATGTGGGGTATTTTGAAACTTCACATAAACACTCTAGGGACATCCGGGCCTTAATTTAAACATTATAAAATGAGGCATAATAGGTCCCCTCTCAGAGAACAATAGGCTGTAAAAATAGCAAACTAATTTAAAGTGCCGATGTGATGTGATGTCATTAATATGCTAATTAGCGCATGCTATCATTTAGTGATATTTAGACTTTAAGTATGCATTAGATTCAACCCTCCTCACACCTAGTGTTTTATGATTTTGATTGTACTGTAATGATGCGCAGCCTCTGTAAAACTGCTTGAAAAAACAATAACTATTGTGAAAGGCGCTCTATTGTGAAAGGTAACTATTGTGAAAGGTTGAACTGAATGAGTATATCAAGGCCTAATAAGATGGAAAGCCAGATACTCTATGTACTCACCTAAAAATAAATCCAGATCTGTTATTTTCTGAAAGCGTTCACTGATTTGACTTTCTCTTCTTCAGAATCGGCTCCCCTGGATCCTCGCTGTCAGCTCAGTTTTGTTCAGGGCTCCTGTAGAAATTACGTCATTCGCTGGTACTATGAGAAACAGTCAAACTCTTGCGCTCAGTTCTGGTATGGAGGCTGTGATGGAAATGACAATCGTTTCCATACAGAAGAAGAATGCAAGACGACGTGTGTCCTCAGCAGCACAGGTATGATTCACTCCTAAAGATAGAAAAAATATTTTATAAAAGTTAAGCTCTTCATCAATGTTTTTTTTTTTTTTTGTATGTTTTAATAAAAATGTGTTCCGGTTTATTAAAATTAATATGTAAAAAAAAAAACTCTCATTCTGTGCAGTGTTAATAATAATCAGAATTTTGGTGATTGAAATGCAGCTGAAATAATACTAAATCTAAATACTTGGTAAAAATAATTTGGTGAAAATACTAAAAAGTACAAAAGCTAGAAATTTATAGATAGATAGATAGATAGATAGATAGATAGATAGATAGATAGATAGATAGATAGATAGATAGATAGATAGATAGATAGATAGATAGATAGATAGATAGATAGATAGATAGATAGATAGATAGATAGATAGATAGATAGATAGATAGATAGATAGATAGATAGATAGATAGATACAACAGATAGCTAGACAGATAGATGGATGGTCAGACAGACAGACAGACAGACAGATAGACAGATAGACAGATAGATAGATAGATAGATAGATAGATAGATAGATAGATAGATAGATAGATAGATAGATAGATAGATAGATAGATAGATAGATAGATAGATAGATAGATAGATAGATGGTCAGACAGACAGACAGACAGACAGACAGACAGACAGACAGACAGATAGACAGATAGATAGATAGATAGATAGATAGATAGATAGATAGATAGATAGATAGATAGATAGATAGATAGATAGATAGATAGATAGATAGATAGATAGATAGATAGATGGTCAGACAGACAGACAGACAGACAGACAGACAGACAGACAGACAGACAGACAGACAGACAGACAGACAGACAGACAGACAGACAGACAGATAGATAGATAGATAGATAGATAGATAGATAGATAGATAGATAGATAGATAGATAGATAGATAGATAGATAGATAGATAGATAGATAGATAGATAGATGGTCAGACAGACAGACAGACAGACAGACAGACAGACAGACAGACAGACAGACAGACAGACAGACAGACAGACAGACAGATAGATAGATAGATAGATAGATAGATAGATAGATAGATAGATAGATAGATAGATAGATAGATAGATAGATAGATAGATAGATAGATAGATAGATATACAGCTACTAGCCATCACTGGGAAAAACCCATACATACATTCACACACACACACAATGGCCAATTTAGCTTATTCAATTCACCTATAGCGCATGTCTTTGGACTGTGGAAGAAACCGGAGCACCGGGGGGAAACCCACATTAACACAGGGAGAACATGCAAACTCCACACAGAAATGCCAACTGGCCCAGCCGAGGCTCAAACCAGCGACCTTCTTACTGTCAGGCGACAGTGCTAACCACTGAGCCACCATGTCACCCCTCGTTTAAATGAATAATTTCATATTTTTGATAAAATTAATAATTTAATACCACATTAATAATTTTAAATACAAATTGCAATACATTAGTACAACCAACTCTAAATTGTGGATTTATAAAGCTGTGAAATTACTCTATTGACATTAAAACCATATGTCGGGAAATAGTTTTATTAGTCATGTACTACAGACAATATGCATTAATTCCAGACAAATGCAGTCACTTAAACACAAATCATACTGTTAAAGGAATTTTCCCTTGAATCATGACAGGGTTTACAGTGCTCTGGCATGCTAACTGCAACTGCTTTTGTTTTCACAGTATAAACGGACAAAAAGGTGGAAGATCTTCATCAGTTTTTCAACACTGAACCTCAATAAATGAACTTTATGCTGGTGATGTTGGATCACGATAACAGAGAACACTTCTTTTCATAAAATCATAGAAATGTTCCCCTTCAAAATCAGGATCTGGATTTTTTTTTTTTTTTGAGAAGCCTCTCAAAAGATATTCGTCAATAACTAAAGTGAAGGTTTCATTATGAACTTTCATGATCATTCATTCATTTGCTTTTGTTCTTGGTCTTTATTAAAAATCTGTGCACTGACAACTGTGACATGCAGAAACATTATTTACATTCTTCAGTGGGAATTGATTGTGAATATGTTTTCATTCATTCATTTTCCTTCGGCTTAGTCTCTGATTATCAAAGGTCGCCAAAGCGGAATGAACCGCTAACTTATCCAGCACATGTTTTGCGCAGCAGATGCCCCTCCGACTGCAACCCAGTACTGGGAAACACCCATACACACTCATTCACACATACACACACTCATACACTACTGTCAATTTAGTTAATCCAATTCATCTATAGTGCATGTTTTTGGACTGGGGGAAACCGGAACACCCGTAGGAAACCCACACCAACACAGGGAGAACATGCAAACTCCAAACAGAAATGCCAACTGACCCAACTGGGACTCGAACCAGTGACCTTTTTGCTGTGAGGCAACAGTGCTAACCACTGAGCCACTGTGCCACCCTGTGTATATGTTTTGTTTTATTTAATTTTTACATGCGATTTGTGACTTGAGTAAGACACAGGCAGGAGTTTATAGTTTTTCCACTGGGATTTTATCATTCTTTAGAGAGTAAACAACAACAAATATTAATTAGTAAAGTCTGCAGGTTATAATAATAATTTAAATCCAATTCAGACTTTTAAAAACATGTTGTATATATATTTTTTTCATACCTCATAGTTGATTTATTGTTATTCAGACAAAATGGTTTAACAGTGCTGAATTTTGTATTCAAAAGAATATTTGCAATTTGTCATGAACGAGCTCTACAAATGTTGTGTGAAATAAGCCGTTACTGAATTGTAGACATGATTATTTGTACTTTTTTATGCAAATGTTGTTTTGTTTTTGTTGTTTTGTAGAATTCTTAAATAAAATATTTGGTTAATAGGTTCTGTCTAGCTTTGTGCTTCGTGAAGGATCAAATAAGGAACAGAATTTTTATCTTCTACAATTAAATCTTTATTTTTGTATGAGAATATGATGGATGGATGAACTGAACCTGGCCGTGTCTTCATTTGAAAAGTTACTTTGAATAAAAGCATCTGCTAAATGAATAAATGTAAATGTAGAATGACAGGCATGGGTGGACCACTGGATGGATGGACCAATGGATGGATGAACCATTGGATGGATGGAAGGATGGATGGAGAAATTATAGAAAGGATGATAGATGGAAGAACAGCAAGAATGAATGGAAGAAGAGAAAGAATGATGGATGGATGGATGGATGGATGGATGGATGGATGGATGGATGGATGGATGGATGGACAGGGGGATGGACAGAGGGATGGATAAACAAAGAATGATGGATGGATGTATGGATGTATGGATGGACGGACGGACGGATGGATGGATGGATGGAAGAATATAAAAAATGAGGGATGGATGGATAGAATATAAAGAATGGTGGATGGATGGATAAAAAGAAAATAAAGAATGAGGAATGGATGGATGGATAAAATCATAGATATGATGATGGATGGATGGAAGAATAGGAACAATGATGGATAGATGATGGATGGACGGATGATGGAAAAATAAACATAATAATGGACGGATGGATAAAAATATGGATGGATAAAATTGTAGATATCGTAATGGATGGATGGATGGATAAAATTATAAATAGGATGATGGATGAAAGTATAGAAAGATGGATAATAATAGAATGATGGATGAATGACAGACAAACAGAGAGAGAGAGAGAGAGAGAGAGAGAGAAAGAGAGAGAGAGAGAGAGAGAGAGAGAGAGAAAGAGAGAGAGAGAGAGAGAGAGAGAGAGAGAGAGAGAGAGAGAAGATATTCACGTTTTGACCCTTGCGCTCCACCGTACTAGCTGATGTTACCGTGGTGACGTGACGACGCCTCAGCCTACGCTAAATCGTCTTAGGAAGAGATTGAACGCTTTTCAGCGCGCTTCAATAGTTGAAAATCTATACTTGGGTTTAATTCGACAATATACGCAGACAGTGATCATGGCGTCGGTGTTGGACGCGCTCTGGGAGGACAGAGACGTGAGATTTGACATCACTGCACAGTAAGTTCCCAGGCTAATCCACTAGCTCACAAGCTAATGGCATTAATGTATTAAACCACATACATGAACAGTGAACGATAACGACACTATTTGCATTTGGACACACGCTAATGTTTCCCTCTGATATTTGCTGTTTGTGATATTAAGGTACAGTTAGATTTACATTCACTCATTCAGACTTTCTCCTTAATAATAAACATTTAAGAAAGTGTTATATGCAAATTCTCGTTCATTGTTGAGGTAAAGTGGGATTTAAATTCGCACAATGATTCATTTTTGAGCAGTGACAACTTGTGACACGGTCCCTATATTGTTTACACAACGCTAACGTTACTTTGAATAGTCTGAAATCGCATGTAAATATGGCGTCAAAATAACATTGGCACTATTTAATTGATGGTAAACAATGTTGAACTTCGATTTTCCTATTTAGATTATGCAAAGACTATTCATTCATTCATTTTCTTTTCGGCTTAGTCCCTTTATTAATCAGGGGTCGCCACAGCGGAATGAACCTTATCCAGCATATGCTTTATGCATCGGATGTCCTTCCAGCTGCAATCCATCACTGGGAAACATCCACACTTATTCACACACATACACGATGGAAAATTTTAGCTTACCCCATTCACTTATAGCACATGTCTTTGGACTGGGGGAAACCGGAGCACCCGGAGGAAACCCACGCACGTGGACACAGGGAGAACATGCAAACTCCGCTCAGAAATGGCAACTGGCCCAGTCATGACTCCAACCCCATGACTTTCTTGTTGTGAGGCGAGCCACCATGCCACCTAAAATATGTCAATGCATGTATTTAAAAAAAAATACCAAAAAATGTTCCTAGAAAGAAATGTAAATGTCCACTATTCAGTTATGTTAATTTATGGTATGGTGACATGTTTTATATATTAAAAAATGGATGGCTAAATGATAAATTTATTCAGAATTTCATTTAAGTGTTTAACTATGCAAGTCTGTTATTTTTTCAGAGTGTGGCAATTGATCTTTTGTTTCATTTAGGCAGATGAAGACCAGACCAGGTGAAGCACTCATCGACTGTCTGGATTCAATTGAGGACACAAAGGGAAATAACGGAGATAGAGGTGATTAAATGTGCCATTTTCTGCATTAATAACCTGCTGTGACCTTCATTTGTTATGAGATTATTATAAAGTTGAAGTCAAAATTATTAGCCCTCATGTGAATTTTTTTCTATTTTAAATAATGTTTAACAGAGCAAGGACATTTTTACAGTATTTCCTATAACATTTTTTATTCCTGGAGAAAGTCTTATCTATTTCTACTAGAATAAAAGCAGTTTTAAAAAACAAAAACAAATGCAATATATTTTTTTGATTGTCTGTAGAAAAAAAACATCGGTATACAATAACTTAACTTGGTTAAGACTTTTATGTTAAGCTTAATGTCACTTTAAGCTGTATAGAAGTGTCTTGAAAAATATCTAGCCAAATATTATTTACTGTCATCATGGCAAAGATAAAATAAATCAGTTATTAGAAATGAGTTATTAAAACTATTATGCTTTGAAATGTGTTGAAAAAATATTTCCAATTAACAGAAATTGTGGAAAAAAATATACAGGGGGGCTAATAATTCAGGAGGGCTAATAATACAGACTACAACTGTATTTATTTTGATATTGTCTTGTTTATATTTAATAAAGTTAAGGTTATTGTAATGTCTCTTTTTTACTTTCATTTCAAACATGTAAAACAAAAATAACTACATGATGAAAAGCATAAATAATACAGCACAATAGAAAACAATTTGAACTTATACATGTCCAAAGAGAAGTTGGAAAAATGAAGAAGCATATGCTTTTTTAATCCTAGCCCTTCTTCACTCTAAATTAATAGTAAGTAATAATCCATAAGAATAATTAAATTAATTCCATGATTGTGTTACCTCACATTCTATACTAATAAACTCTTTTCACTTTCTACAGGTCAAACTAAATGAACAGATTGAACACTAAATAAATCTGCTCTTCTTCCATACACAGTTGAAGTCAAAATTATTAGCCCTCAGGTGTTTTTTGCTTCTTCTTTTTTTCAAATATTTCCCAAATGATGATGTTTAACAAAGCAAGGCCTTTTTCAAAGTATTTCCTATAATATTTTTTCTTCTAGATAAAGTCTTATTTGTTTTATTTCGACTAGAATAAAAGCAGTCTTTTAATTTTTTTAAAAACCATTTTAAGGTCAATATTATTAGCCTCCTTAAGAAATTTTATTTTTCAATAGTCTACAGAACAAACCATCATTATACAATGACTTGCCTAATTAACCTAGTTAAGCCTGTAAATATGTCACTTTAAGCTGAATACTAGTATCTTGAAAAATATCTAGTAAAATATTATGTGCTGTCATCATGGCAAGGGTAAAAGAAATCAGTTATTAGAAATGAGTTATTAAAACTATATTGTTTAGAAATGTGTTTGAGAAATCTTCTCTCTGTTAAACAAAAACTGCGGAAATTAATATAAAGGTGGGCCAGTAATTCAGGAGGCCTATTAATTCTGACTTTAACTGTACATTTCAAAAAACATGTTTATACTGCTTTTTTAACTAGGTCACACTTGAACATTGACCTAGACTTTTCCACAATTTCAACCCACACACATAAGTACAAAAACATCATAATGTTGTTTAAACATAATACAGATGCTTAAAGTTACACTCTTTCCTACAATTATATATTTTTGTGTGTGTGTTTTTATAAAGGGAGACTTCTGGTGACCAATTTAAGGATAATCTGGCATTCGCTGGCGCTGCCAAGAGTCAACCTGTGTGAGTATTTGAGACATATTTAATAATAATAATGTCTTCTGCAGCTCTTCCAAATGAACTTTGTCATCCTCTAATGAAACTAAATGTAATTAACCTTCTAAAATGGCATCATATTAAATTATTGTCCAACTTTGAAGTTAAAAACAAACGGCAATGATTAAAAATATATAATTACACAATATAAAATATAGTAATAATTATAAAGTAATGCAAATAAATAATTAATATTATCTCATGTAAAAACCGATGCATCGGAGTTAAAATGAACAAATAAATTAAAATACAGAACTAAAATTAAAGTGCGACGCAGCAGGTAGCGATGTCGCCTCACAGCAAGAAGGTTGCTGGTTTGAGCCTCGGCTGGGTCAGTTGGCATTTCTGTGGGGAGTTTGTATGTTCTCCCCGTTTTTGCATTTCTCGTTTTCCCCCACAGTCTAAAGACATGTGGTATAGCTGAATAAGTTAAATTGTCCTTACTGTATGTGTGTGAATGGGAGTGTATGGGTGTTTCCCAGTGATGGGTTGCAGCTGGAAGGGCATCCGCTGTGTAAAACATATGCTGGATAAGTTGGTGGTTTATTTTGCTGTGGTAACCCCTGATTAATAAAGGGACTAAGCTGAAAAGAAAATGAATGAATGAACTAAAATTAAAATGAATTTACCTTTTTAAAAAAGTATTTTCCATTTGTGGTGTAATTAATTATGTCAACCATTATCTGATGTCTTCTTTTGTTTATTAACAGCTGTGGGATACAACTGCATTATTAATATCACCACAAGGACTGCAAATTCTGTAAGTCATAATCACCCATCACATTGTTTTTAATATCACATATTGTAAATCAGTGTTTCTCAACCAAGTTCCTGGAGGACCACCAGCTCTGCACATTTTCCATGTCTCTTTAATTAAACACACCTGATTCAGATCATCAGCTCATTAGCAGAAACTGAAAGGCCTGTAAATGGGTGTGACAAACAAAGGAGACATCCAAAAATGCAGTGCTGGTGGTCCTCCAGGATCGTGGTTGAGAATTACTGTTGTAAATTTTGTCAAATTCCCTCTTTTTTTCACCCAGAAACTAAGAGGTCAGACTGAAGCGCTTTACATATTAACTAAATCTAATAACACTAGATTTGAGTTCATCTTCACGAATGTGGTCCCAGGAAGTCCGAGACTGTTTACATCTGTCATTGCTGTTCACAGGTAATTTTTTCTTCTGCAAGAAGATTAGACAAAAGTAGATTCATTTGATGAACTTGCAAATGATCCATTTTTGTGGAATACTTTAACATCTTCAATTATGAGTTAAGGAAGAGAGATAAAGAAAAAATTGTGTGTGTGATTAAGTGTGTATGGTGCTACGTCCCAATTCACAAACGTTCACTACGCCCTAAAAGTATGTACTTTTTGTGTAAAGAAAAAGTATATACTTTTGAGTATGTAACAGAAGAGTATACAAGCTTTGACACATATCACTTCCTTGTTAACAGATCATTATGTTGCTTGGTTTCGTCCCGTCAATTATCTCGACATATCATCTACATTTCTTTCATCTTTAATAACCTGTCTTATTAGAGAAGCAGCAGCAGGATAACGAGTCTTTCATGCAGAGAAATCTTCTCAGATCTTTGGTTAATTATAAAATCAGAAGTTAATGTCCAAACACATCATGATACAAGTTCACATTTTTGTTGCAGGTGAAATATAACAAAGAAAACACAGTTTAAACATGTTCCAGTTGGCTAGATATTAATTAACAGTCATTTAAACAACTTTACCGAAGCCTCTTTACTTGATGGTTGGTCTCAGGTATCTGCCATGTTTGTAGTTTGTTTACACTTTTTACCCGAGTTTGTAGTTCTTATCAAATTCATGTTCAATGTGCAAAGTATTGTGGGAAATGTTAGCGGTTAGAGCAGGGCTATTTATTGGCGGCCCGCAGGCCGAACCCGGTCCCTGAGGCAATTTATTCCTGCCCTCCAAATAGTTTGACCAAGACATCAAAAATAAATTTAGTTCAGTTGAAAATCAGTCGCTATAGTTATGAAGTGACGTGTTTCTGTTCAATACAGCACAAGCTATAGTTAAAGACTGCGCAGAGCACAAGTTCTGCGAGCAGCTGAAAACATTTGGATGTTTGTAGAAAAGGCCTTTTGTACAATGCACTGATATCGTTAATAGGGATGCAATGATTAGCCAATTTCACTATTAACCCCGTTTTTATTCATTAAAGGCTTCTCAACGTCGCATTTCTGTTGCACAGAAAAAAAGCTGCTGCAACTAAACAAAGTTATGCCAATGCGCACACACATTAGATTAGCTACAGCAGCAAGCCGTTTTCAGAAATGGACTATTGTTTGTTTTTTATTAATATTGTGCTGAATTTAGTTACTGAGCAGCAAAACATCAACACTTTAACATAGAAGTAGTTTTCTTTTGATTTTCTAAACTAGTACTGTTTTAAATTTAATAAATGCATAATAATGGTGATAACCGTGAAAGATTATTCTTCAGACTATAATTGTACAACCAAAATCTATAATCGTTGCATCCTTAATTGTTACGCAGTTTAAAACAAAACATATGAATGTGTCTGAATGTAAAAGAAGCCTACTTAAGCAATGAACTGATTTTGTGCCTCGAAATACAACATTTGGATAGCTTGTAAAAAAGCCACATTGTACAATGCAGTGATGTTATGTTGTTTCAAAATACAATATATTAACGTTTTAAATGTTAAAAAAAAGTCAATGTGGGTGTCTTTATGAGCACAAATACACAAATACAACTTATGGGCTCTTACATGATGTTGTGTCATCACTCATATTGCAAGTCATATCTCTCCAGCACATCTTTTTGGATGCTTTTCATAAACTGGCCCTCGTGACAATCTAATTAAATAGCCCTGGGTTAGAGTACGGACGTTTCTACGAAGTTTAACAGAAAATAGTAAACCATCCGAGAACCTTTGGCATACTCTTTTCAACACACTATGGTTTAGGACACTTATTCTATTACATAATAAAAAGAGATTTTTTAAGAGAAGGTCACTTTTTAATAAATCATTTATCAAGCAGAAATATAGGCAAGCATTAATACAAAGAAATGTTGGATAAGGGGTAATGTTGCATGAAGTATTTTCAATAAAAGCATTTTTATTAAAATTAAAAAACATTAATAAGAGGCGATTATGCAAGAGAAAAAAAAACAGAAATAGCAAGAAAGAAGAAAAGATTATGTTGAAATGATTGGATGGTCTATATTATAATAAAATTATTTTGCTCATTTACTGTAGATGAAAAAGTAGGATTATTTTGTGTCAGATACATTAAAGTATATAAAAAGAGTTACTAGACTAATTATTTGTGATTCTTGCAGGGCTTATGAGACTTCTAAAATGTATCGGGATCTGAAGCTTAGAGGAGCTCTTATTCAGAATAAACAGCTGAGGCTTCTACCACAGGAGCAGGTTTATGACAAGATTAATGGAGTATGGAACCTGTCTAGTGATCAGGTAATTTCAAACTGCTTTGCAATATTATCATTTATTGTTTTATAATAAATTGAGCTGAGAAAAGTCTGTTGCTGAGGGTTTAAACAGCCAAGCGTCGTCTTGTTTTTCAGGGTAATCTTGGGACGTTTTTCATTACTAATGTGAGAATCGTGTGGCATGCCAACATGAACGAGAGCTTTAACGTCAGCATTCCCTATCTGCAAATTGTGAGTGGTTATTTGTTAACAAGGAATGAGCTATCATAAAAAAGTCGTATTCATTAAATCTGTGCTTTCTTTTTCCAACCCATTTGTTTAAAGCGCTCGATAAGGATTAGAGACTCTAAATTTGGACTTGCTCTTGTGATTGAGAGCTCTCAACAGGTAGGTTTGGATTTATGATCAATCACATTTCATGACCCTCATATTTCATTACTTCACCTAAACTTTAGTATGATTTGCCACTTTACATTAGACTGGCAACATCTCTGTCTGTTTTTAAATCTAAGTTAAAAACTGCCTGTTTGACAAAGCTTTTAACACATGAATAGGTTTTATTTCATATTGTACTGGTTTTTGAGCTGGTAAATGTTTTCACTTTTTATTCTTTGAATTTTTTGAACTTGTTTATGTCTTTGACTCTTGGGGCTCTATGTTAACGATCTAGGCGCAAAGTCTAAAGCTTATGGCTCGAAAGCATTAAGGGTGTGTCTGAATCCACTTTTGCTATTTTAAGAATGGAAAAATATGCACTGTGCTTGCCGTATGGTCTAACAGGGATGTATTATTCTCTTAATACGTTATGGGTGTATTTTGAGCATAACGTGCATTAATCCAATTAGAGTCTCATCTCCCATTCACTTTAAGAGTCAGTTGTGTGGTGCCATGGCGCATTTGCTATTTACATGGCGGACTTTGTAAGTGGAAAAACTGAACGCTGCACTAGCAAGAAAACATTTAAACAGACCATCTGCAGTGCGAGGATAAAGAACGAGCCTCCTCCATTCTGCCTTTTTACTTTCTCTTTACTTTACTCCTTTACTTTAGTGGATGAGGAAATGGTTTGTACGCACTCCACTAAAGACATCCATTATCCTACATATTTATTTTTGTTTATTAAGCGCAAAGATTTGTTTCAAAACCATTTCTAAATTCAGTTCTAATTTCCAGCAAATTAATAAATGACAAATAATAACGAAGTGTGGTGAAAAAATATGGTGATGCAGATGTCTTCAAAACCCGACAGGTGGACAAATCTAAACTTTTTATCGAAAAAATATAAATATGAATATAATAAATATTACTGCTAATAATAATAATAATAATAATAGCAACAACAACAACAACAACATTATACAAAAACAAATTGTCATGACTAAATTGAAAAAGCCCTCAGAGATGAGGAAATGGTTTTTATATTTATGTGGAAATTAATAATTTTTGTAACATTTTAATCCTTTAATTGTTTTCATTTGTAAAGATATTTGTGTGCTGCTGTACGCCCTGTGTATTAAGCAATATGTAAACATTTGGACCTGCATAGGCGCATAACTAACATGCTCTGCGCTGGACTTTAGACCAGCTTTTAGTTGGTTAATGGCGCAGTCTATTTCAGTTCCTCAAATTAGCAACGTGCCAACAATGCGTCTTAACAAACTTAATTTTTAGACCAGCACACCCATTAAGTCCACAAAGTAGTGCAAATGGATTTGTTATTTAAACAGTGTGGTGCAAAATGTGAAAATTAGGGTTGCGCTTGTCTGAAAATAGCAATAAATCATGCCATAAATGTCTTGCGCCTTATTGCGCCAGTTGTATAATAAGGCCCTTGTTTGTGATTTTCAGTAATTGTGAATCACACTGGTCAACTTGGGTTGTTTTTAATTGTGCTATATAAATAAAAAGTCAGTCATTACATGAATAAATAGCATTTTGTAAATGTATTCAAATGGAAAATAGCAATAATCTTTTTGATGTGATAGTCCAGATGAAAAGATGACATGTTCTGTTAATTTACCAAGTTGTACTTTATTAATAAGTAGGTGACTATTTTCTCAGTAGAACATTACAGAAGATTTTTAGCTGAAACCAAAGCATTTAGTGAATTATAAAAAATGTGATTTTATGGTATTTTTCACAAATTAATTCATTTAAATGCAGTAATAGTGCTGTCAAATTGGTAATAAGTGTTTGAAAATTTAAATCTCCCTCTCTTATTTATTCTATGTAAATACTTTCAAAAGTTGTTCAGAATTTATTTTAAATTTTTATATATTATTTATTCCTGTTTGTCTTTTTTATTGTTATAAACCCATGTTTTACAGAAAAGTGATATTTATAAACCACATTTTATCCGTTTTTGCCATGCATGAAATATTCATCGAAGCTGATTTGGCAATAAACTATGAACTCTTTCTCTTAGACAGGAGGGTATGTTTTGGGATTCAAGATCGATCCAATGGACAAGTTACAGGATGCAGTGAAGGAAATCAACTCCCTGCACAAAGTTTATTCCGCAAACCCTATATTTGGTGTGGAATATGAGATGGAGGAAAAGGTACAAACATTTGTTGACGTACAGTTGAAGTTTAAATTATTAACCCTCCTGTAAATAGTTTTTTCTTTTTCAAAAATTTCCCAAATTATGTTTATCAGAGCAAGGAATTTTTCACAGTATCTCCTACAATATTTTTATTCTGTGGAAAGTCTTATTTGTTTTATTTCGGCTAGAATGAAAGCAGGTCAATATTATTAAAGAACTTAAGCTATATATTTTTATACAATATAGTTATACAATAATTTACCTAATAAACCTAACTAAACCACAGTTAACAATAATTTACCTAATTAACCTAACTAGCTAAATTAACCCAGTTAAGCCTTTAAATGTCACTTTAAGCTGAATACTATCATCTTGAAAAATATCTAGTATAATATTATGTACTGTCATAGCAAAGATAAAAAAATAAATCAGTTATTAGCAATGAGTAATTAAAACGATAATGTTTACAAATGTGTTGAAAAAAATCTTCCATACGTTAAACAGAAATTATAATTCTGACTTTGACTGTATATTGTAAATACAGTTTTGAAGCTGCGTTTCCTATATTTACTTCGATGGGTACTCTCGGTTTGTATTCTGAATACAACCAAGGTTTTCTATTTTGTTGTAAATAAAAGGCAAAATGTCTGTAAATGACATCATCTTACAAATAATCATTCTGTATCAGCCTCAGCCCCTGGAGGAGCTGACCGTAGAGCAGCCGCCTGATGACGTGGAGATTGAGCCGGATGAGCACACGGATGCTTTTACTGTGAGTTTTACCTCATGTGCTACTCTTAGAAATAATGACGCTCTGCTTTCAACACATAGTGCTCTGTGTGTCTTGCATGCTGAAAATAACTGATCGCTTAAGCCACAACTCACAGAGGCCCACCAGCACTTTTGTTGCCTGGTATCAAAAATGTTTATACTGAGCACGGATGGGTCTGACAGTGGGAATGTGCTTTTGGTTAATACTTAAACAGATCTGATTACATGTAGAAATCACTGATGAGCTCTTTCATGTCTTTTTCATCTCAAGGCTTATTTTGCAGATGGAAACAAGGTAAAATCCATCCATCCATCCATCTTATTTAAATATCATCTATCTATCTATCTATCTATCTATCTATCTATCTATCTATCTATCTATCTATCTATCTATCTATCTATCTATCTATCTATCTATCTATCTATCTATCTATCTGTCTATCCATCCATCCATCCATCACAGTTATCCATCTATCCATCCATCCATCCATCCATCCATGTATCATCTCAGTGATCTGTTCATGCATCTTTTATCCATCCAAGTTATCCATCTGTCTGTCTGTCTCTTTCTAGTTATGTGATATTCCCACCCATCTTTCTATTTATCCGTTAAATAATCCATCCATTTATCTATTACAGTGATCCATCCCTGTCTGTCTGTCTGTCATCTTAGTGATCTGTCCATCCATCTTTTATCCATCCAAATGATCCATCTGTCTGTCTTTTTCTATTTATGTGATATTCACATCCAACTTTCTATTTATCCATTAAATAATTCATCCATTTATCTACCACAGTGTACCATCCCTCCCTCTATCTGTATGGCTGTTTGTCTATCTATCAGTGATCCATCCATCCAAGTGATCTGTCTATCCATCTTTCTATCCATCCTTTAAATGATCCATCTATCTCTCTGTCTATATATCGATCACAGTGATCTGTCCATCCATCCATCTATCACAGTGATCTATCAATCCATCTATCCGACTGTCTATCTATCTATCTATCTGTCTGTCCGTCCATCACAGTGATCGGTCCATCCATCTATCCATCCATTAAATTATCTATTCATCCCTGTATCCATCTATCTACTATATCTGTCTATCCACTAGGGATGTACTGGGTTTTCGGTCACTTCGGCCAAAAGAGAAAAACAAAGATTTAAAAAAATGAAAATGTGAATAGAAATAAAGACAGTAATAGTCAGTGTTCTGCACAAAGGGTTTTACTGTGCTGTCATGGCAATGTTCACTGTCAATTAGTTCACTGTCAATATAATGTGGTTATTTGTTTGTTTTTCTCAGTATCATTTAATGTTGTTAAGTTAGATTTAAGTCTTAACAGAATTGCTTTATATTATTTAATAAAATAATAAATCATACTACAAAGCATATTTGGTTTTGGTATTTGGCAAAGTGTATCTACAATTTTTAGTTTCATCCCAGAATTTTTTTATTTCTTTCCATCCTCTACTATCCACATATCCATTGTGGCTGCGATCGATCCATCTATTCACCCACACATGCATCTATATCTCTATCTCTCATTATTTGTCTCAACGTTTGTCCAGCAAACACTCCTATTAAATTAAATTTCTTTTTTCTTTACTCTCCTTAAGCAACACGATCGTGAGCCGGTGTTTTCTGAAGAACTGGGTTTGGCAATAGAGAAACTGAAAGATGGATTTACCCTTCAGGGACTCTGGGAAGTCATGGGTTGACATGCGCAAACACTGTTGTGTATTGAGGCATTGCATTGTTGTTTACATCCAACATCAAGAGTTTTCATTAGAATTTTGTATTTATTTTCAGAATATTAATTTAATTTTGATAAAGATGTATGTTTACAAATCATGAGGACCAAATTTAAGAAAAAATCGTGGGGGAAAAAGTTTAATATGAATGTATATGTACAAGCAGAAACATGTATGTATTTAATAGATTTATTTGTAAACTGTTAAGATTACTTATATAGTGAAAGTTACATGATGACTTTGCTGTTGTTATGTAGTAATAAAATTATTACAAAATGTTTTAATCCGTTACTCATTTAAGATTTTTGGATAGTAATGAGTAGATGAAACCAACATTAACCATTTCTTTGCAAGGGTTTTGTCAAGTGTGTCTAAAATCCATCAGAGGAGCTCAACTACTTTACAAATGATCTGATAAACTACACAGTTTTTTTTTTTTTTTTCAATTATTTAGTCAACAGAAGGTTAAAAAGTGCAGGTAACACTTTAGTTTAAAGGTGCAGTAGGTGATCTTCCACAATGCTAACAGCTTAGCATAAATCTCTGAATCACAGTCCCTCCTCTGCCGTCTAGAGCCACGCCTCCTTAAAAACAAGCATCGCAAAAGAACTCTCTTATGTGTTAAAAGCGACTAGTGCTTGTCCAGCGTCGTGCAAGCAAAACTGACATGCTATTTCAGACCGAATATTTAGAGTTGCATGGTAAACATTATAGGGAGAGACTAGGCGGAATAACGGTATTTACTTGTGTTTTGTTGTTAAATGAATTAAAATCTACATTAATGATGCTGAAAAAGGTCCCTTATGAAACAGAAAATAGTCTTATCACTCTTTCATCGGAAGATTTTAGTGGCTGCACAACACTTCTGTAAAGATATAACCCATTAGTAACAACAACATCTAACATTACATCAGCTTTGCGTGAAGCTAAAACAGTTTTACAGTCATCCTTTCTCCAGCATGCAAAGGTAACTCCAATATTGATTCAGGTTTTTTAAAGTTTTGTATTTCTATTGCTACCATAACTGTAACATACTAATTTAAGTACTTTAGTATGATTCGAATATCATTTATCGAAAATAGACAACAACATAACACGAAAACATATGAATGTTATTGAATGCATAGAGCAGGAACAAAGATAGGCACAATAAGATCAATTTCCTCACAATTTAAAAGCTTTTTCTAAGAGATTTAGTTTGAGTTTCCCTTAGAACAAGGATTCATTAGAGTTTGATCTAATAGACATATGAAGCCCATTCCACATTTTAGGACCTACTAAATGTCTTCTTTTTTTCTTTAGTTTGGATCTGGGGACTTTTAACATTCTCTTGTTCGACAACCTCAAACATCTGCCAGTTATTTTAACAGTAATAAGATTAGAAAGATAAGGCAGTGCCTGACCATTCAATACCTTAAAAATATTAAGTAAAAATTTTAACTCTATTCTAAAACATGTCTGCAACCAGTTTCAAGAGTTCACACTTAGCTGATGATTGATTATAAAAGCTTGTTTAGCATGCTGTCCCGGGAGAGAGCCCTGAGCTCATGAGATCTTCGAGCCCAGGGCTCCCTCCCGTTGCAAGGCGGGAGGGGAGTTTGAGCTCAGGTAGATCTCAAGAACTCCCCTGCTGTAGTAACTGATGAACAGTAAGTGATTGCTCTTGAAGATAACCACGTACTAGAAGCATATCTATGGTGCCAATTTGGATTATTCAATTAACTTAATTGCATGTTTTAGGCGGTGGGAGGAAACCGGGGAACCTGGGGGAACCTACGTGAGCACGGGGAGAAAGTGCAAACTCCACACAGAAATGTCTGCTGGTTTGGTTAAGCCTGGAACCAGAGACATTCTTGCTGTGAGGCAACAGTGCTACGCACTGGGCCACCGTGTCACCCATCTAGGAAGGAGGAGTAGGGGTGGAAGGGAAGACTCTTCAAAACGAAGATAGCAGTGGAATGAAACCCAGGGTATTTATAGTAGTTTAGGAGTCATCTGATTGGAGCATAGTGAATTGGATAATGCGGATCCAGCCGCTAGCAATCATAAGCACGTGATCCTCTCGAAATTTGTTTATACATAAACTTCACTTAGAGAGCATAGGATAGGTTAATGTGTTCAAATTTACAGGTACCAGTAAGAAACTTAGCGACTGCATTTTGGACCACTAGTAGGCGATTTATATAGGATTTGCCAATACCTATATAAATTGAGTTACAATAGTCCAAGTGTGATGATATTAATGCCCAAGTTAATCTCTCGAATTCCACAAGTTAAAAAGCCTTTCACTTTGGCTAATAATCTCAACTGGAAAAAACAAGATTTAACTACCTGTTTGTCAAATAGAAGGGCAGAATCAAGGATGAAACCTAGATTTCTTATAGATGGTTTAATGTAATCGGATAGATTGTCCAGCTTTTATTTCAGCTTGCCAGAGACGGCTAATAGTCCAAAGACGATTCCCTCAGTTTTACTTCTCAATAAGTTAAAAAAATTATTTGACATCCAAGCTTTAATCTGTATTGAGCCTATATTTAAATAAAAACCAAAAAGATACAAGTGCAACACGAATGAGTCACATCAACTTGTTTCTGAGTCATGATGAACATGTTAAAAAAGGTTAATGACATACACCTTTCCGACTATTTTAAACCTCTTTACACAGCTGTTGAATTACTGACGCGTCATTTAATAATATAGTTCGCATTTAAACACCCCTGACCTCTGAGTGTGTCCAAGGTTCACAGTTGTCTTTTTCAGTCTTTGACAGCTGCTTTACGCGACTCCCGTTTGCTCAGCCCGAATTCTTTCTGACTAGATGAGGGCTCTATATTTAGAGAAGCGGGGCTTAAATTGCTTGTGTTGGTGCTCTGTGTTATTTCAGCCTCTTACAACTGAGACGGCACAACGAGAGGAAGTATCGTATCCTCATCAAGCGAATTTTAAAGATGGAACCAATGAGTGTCAAAGAGGACCTGAGGCTTTTTCAGAGCACCCTGCTTCAGGATGGCTTGAAGGAACTTCTGAAGGAGAACAAGTTTGTGGATTGCATACTGAAAGTTGGAGATCGGAGCCTTCCCTGCCATAGACTCATCATGGCTGCGTGCAGTCCGTATTTCCGAGAGCTGTACTTTACTGAAGACGGCACAGAGAAGAAAGATGCCAACAAGGAAGTAGTGTTGGAGAATGTGGATCCCAACATAATGGATATGATAGTGAACTACCTCTACTCTGCAGACATCGATATTACCGATGACAATGTGCAAGATGTCTTTGCGGTCGCTAATAAGTTTCAGATCCCATCAGTGTTCACGGTTTGCGTCAATTACCTACAAAACAAGCTTTCATTGGGAAACTGCTTGGCTATCTTCAGGATGGGGCTGGTTTTGAATTGTCCGAGATTGGCTGTGTCCGCTAGGGACTTCATAGCGGAGCATTTTGAGACTTTATCCAAAGACGAAGAATTTCTTGAGTTTAACGCTCCTGAGTTTTTTGCCATTATTGGGTGTGACGCTCTCAATGTTGAAAAAGAAGAGCTTGTGTTTGAGCTCTTGATGAAGTGGGTGCGAAAAAACAAAGAAAACCGGGCGAAGGCTTTGGGCGATGCTTTCGAACACATTCGCTTTCGACTACTGCCGGAAAAATACTTGAAGGAGAAAGTGGAAAAGGATGACATTATTAAGGCCGACCCCGAACTCATCAAGAAGCTGAAGGTCATTAAGGATGCTTTTGCTGGAAAACTTCCACAAATAAAGGAGGGTGAGAAAGAAGGAGAGGGCGAAAATGAGTTGCCTGGTTTTCTGAATGACAGCCAACGGCTGGGGATGTTCAACAGGGATCTCATCCTGATGATAAACGACACTGCAGCCGTGGCCTACGACGCCAACGAGAACGAATGCTTTCTAGCAGCGATGGCTGAGCAGATTCCTCGAAACCACGTCAGCATCACGTCAAAAAAGAATCTGTTGTATGTTGCAGGAGGACTGTTTGTTGATGAAGAAAACAAGGATTCGCCGCTGCAGTGCTATTTCTATCAGGTATATAGTATACAGGGTGGATATAGGTAATATTTCATGGCTATACCATGGCTTATTTAGATTGTTTTGTAACATGAAATCTAATTTACTTTTGTCTGTTTGGAGTAGGGGTGTAACAGATCATGGCTGATCCATGATTTGTACAGATCACAACCCACAGTTCGAAACGCACTTGACTTGTTTTTTTCTTACTTATTTGCATTAGTGCATTCAGTATAAGCTGCACGATTAATTATTAAAAGATCGGGATTTCAACACCCATGCAACAAATTATAAATTATGGAGATTTGCATATGTTTATTAATCCATTGAATCGCTGCTTTCAAATCTGTGTTTGATAAACACAAAAATCCAGAAAGAGATTCAGTTCTTCAGTCTTTTTTAAATTAGTAAAGAAGTTACAAAAAGTCAAAAAACACAGAAGTACTGGGAGAACAGTTTATAGTTTAGATATAACCACTGATGTTTATGGTAGATTAAAATCACTGTCATATGCATTTAACTTGATGCGCAAAAAAAAAAAAAAAAATTATTAAACCAAACAAGTGGCGACAAAAAGCCATCAAAAATATGCCACTAAATAATTTTCAATAATGATCATCAAGCAATGAAACATGACATTTTAGGAGTGAATAAACTGAAAATGAGACTAAAATATGAGTTGTACAAATTATAATGTTAGATTTCTATATTTAGCGTTATCAGCAACAGTAGAAGTGACAGTGAATTTTTCACAGTACTGAATATTTTACAATTTATTTTTGTTCAGCTGATTATTCCTTCATTTTATTTTTCATATTTTTAATGTTTTTGTTATATAAATGGAAAGCAAATTACATTTGTCCCCACTCCTTTTTGGCTGATCCGAAAAATGGTCCAATCTGTGACTAAAAAACCCTAATGTGATCCGAACCGTGAGATTTGTCATCCGTTACACCACTAGTTTAGAGACTGTTTTCATCATGAAGCGACAGAGTTTTTGTTTTGTTTCTAGTCCAAATGTCTAGTCATTCTTAAATTAAAAAGCATTTTCTAGAATATTGTCTAATGATCAGAAATATTAAGTAAAAATGAAGTGAGTTTTTCCTTAAAACAAGCTAAATTATTTGCCAATGGGGTAAGCAAAGATTTTTTTTTTTTTTTTTTTTGTTATTACCTCATTGACAGATTATTTTGCTTCCTATAAGGAAAAACTCACTTCATTTTTACACACTATTTCTTAAAATGAGACGTGTTAACAGCTCCTTTAGAAATATTATTCCCAAGAAGTAAACTGTGTATAGAAATAAACAATTCTTATTTCCCCCACTTTGGAGATCTTCTGAATTAGTGAAAGATGGAAAGTTACTCAGCAATGAGACATGTCTAAAAAATGCTTCTAGATTTAAGAGTTTTTAGATATTTGGACTAGAAACTAAACAAAAAAGGCTTCAAATAGACCGAGGTAAATTAGATTTCATGTTTTCCGCATCAAAAGACCTTATTAAAAGTAGGCTACTGGTCACACTTTACAGAAGGTTTCATAGTTTATCTATCCTGAACTAAGATTGAACAATACTTGTAAAGTATATAATAGTAATCATAGTTTAACATTTACTAATGAATGCAATCCAAATTTGTGCTTAGTTAATGTACAGCCCTAACAAAGATGAAAACTTGCTTGTTCATGTTAGTACACATTAATGGAATCTTATTGTAAAGGGTTAACGTTACCAAACATAGACATTATTCGAAATTTTTATTACTTTTCACCCACCATAATGAGCTGTTTACACAAAACAGTTGATAATAAAGTTTTAATAACCAATTTCGTAGGAAGTCAATACGCGTCTACAATAGTAAGGTAGACTTTCCAGATTTTGAACGATTAAAAAAACATGTTAGCCAAACATAATTAATGGCGCGAACACCACACAGGACAAAATGGCAGCGCGCGCATCATAAATCTGAAGTTGTCTTTCATGTATTGTTCGATGCGTGAACAGGTTTGTTTCAATCAGAATTTAAAAAACATTTACTCACCACAGGTCTTTCCAGCTTCCTACAACCGGTAGGCTATATGACTTTGCTTTGCCTTGTAAAGCTAAATAATAATATCCTGAAGTAGATCGAGGCTGAAGCTGTCAAAGTAGCCTATAACAGCCAATGTGCTATTATGGTAATTTTGTCATGCTAACGTTATGGTAGAGTACGATTTGGAGCTTGTATTACGCCTCAGTCCTCATTTTCTTAAATTGATTAAAGAATATAGACCTAATTATACTCACTCTGCACTAAAACTCATATTTTCTCCTCTTTGAAAGCACCCTGTAATCCTTGATATAATTAACTCCACCTGGTATCAAAATCAATTAAGGCTATATTTTCAGGCAACCATAAGCATTCAGTCTTATTAATATAATCACCAAAAAGTCAGATTATTTTACATATATCCTAATATTTCACATCATAATTTGCAATCAAGAATTTTAATCCATTACAATTTTTTGTATATAAATATATGTATTTCAGTTTTTTGTAAAGTTTTAGTAATTATATTTTTAGTATTTTTATTAGTTTTATGTTTTTTTTTCCTATTATATTTATATTCCCAGATTAAAAATACTATAGACTAGTATTAAATAGCTATAGTACTTTTAAACCATATTAAAGTACTTGAATTAGTCTATTGCAGTAATAGTCTATAACAGTGGTGGCCAACCCTGTTCCTGCAAAGCCACCTTCCTGCAGATTTCAGTTGCAACCCATATCAAACACACCTGTCTGTAATCATCACGTGGTGTTCAGGTCCTAATTAATTGGTTCAGGTGTGTTTGATATGGGTAGCAACTGAAGTCAGGAAGGTGGCTCTCCAGGAACAGGGTTGGCCACCCGTGGTCTATAACAACTATAGTATACTATAATAAAACTATAATACATTTTCGAATACTTAATATAGTTTTTTAAAACTATTTGGCATATTAATATTTACTACACCACAATTTACTTTAGTAAAACCTAAAATAATTTATTACAGTTTATCAGTTCACAAAAGACTAAAATAAAGTCAAACCACCTGTAGCAGACCACTTTCCTCTTCATATGCACCAGACACTTTCTTATAAACACTCCATATTTCTGGGAAAACATTTTTAATTTCTAGATGTGCTTCACATAGATGAGTGGGCTTAACAAACCACCCGTTGGAGACACCAGATGCAAAAGACAGCTTATAAACACTCCATATTTCTGGGAAAACATTGTTAATTTCTACACATTCTTATTAATTTAGGTGAGTGGGCTTAACAAACCACCTGTAGGACACACGCTTTCCTCTCAATATGCACAAGACACCTTATAAACACTCCATATTTCTAGGTAAACATAGTAAATTTCTACATGTGCTTCACGTAGATGAGTGGGATTAACAAACCACCTGTAGACGATGCATTTTCCTCTCCATATGCACCAGACACCTTATAAACACTCTATATATCTAGGAAACCTTGTTAATTTCTAAATGTGCTTCACATAGATGAGTGGGCTTGACAAACCACCTGTAGAAGACACACTTTCCTCTCCATATGCACCAGACACCTTATAAACTCTCCATATTCCTGGGAAAACATTGTTAATTTCTACACTTGCCTCACATAGATGAGTGGACTTGACAAACCACCTGTAGAAGACACACTTTCCTCTCCATTTGCACAAGACACTTTCTTATGAACTCTCCATTACAAGCACATCATGTACATTTGTATTTAATTGAAAGCATCTGTTGTCTTCAGATGGACCCCCATTCTCCAAACTGGATTGCTCTGCCTCCGATGCCATCGCCCAGGTGTCTTTTCGCCATGGGGGAGTTTGAAAATCTCTTGTTTGCTGTCGCTGGAAAAGATCTGCAGTCCAACGAGTCTCTGGATTCAGTGCTGTGTTATGATGTCGAGTAAGTTTCTACCACATTTTCTGACACATGCATATGCCAAATAATGATCTAATTTTTAATATATTTATTTTTTGCTGTTCTTGGCAGTAAGATGAAGTGGCTGGAGACCAAAAAGCTTCCCTTAAGAATTCACGGTCACAGTGTGATCTCACAAAATGGACTTGTTTATTGCATAGGAGGAAAGACAGATGAAAAGTAAGTCGACTTTGAGTTTCCATGGGCCTTACTACAGTCTTAGAAGCCTCCTTAATGACTTTCAGTTTAAGATTAAAGTCTTAGATAATGTCTTCAAGGACTTGTTCACCCAAAATTGGTTAATCTGTCATCATTTAGTGAGCTTTCACTTGTTCCGAATCAGTTTGAGTTTTATTAAAAGAAGATAAGAGTAGGAGTCTGGTTCGCATTGCCGGCAATAAGTCAGACTTGTACCTAGTTCATGTTGGACTTCTGTTCATAGTTTTTTGGACAGAATTTAAGGCGCAGCCTTGGGCTGGAGGGGGTCTGGTCTAAAACGACAGGATTTCATCTCGTTTATTCACAGATGATGTTGTTATTTTGGTTTCATCGAACATGGGCCTTCCGCATGCACTGGGGCGGTTTGCTGCCGAGTGTGACACGGCTGGGATGAGAATAAGAACCTCCGAGGCCATGGTGCTCCATCGGAAAAAGGTGGCTTGCCATCTCCAGATTGGAGGAAAGTCCTTACCCCTGGTCGAGGAGTTTTAGTATCTTGAGGTTTTGTTCATGAGTGAGGGAAGGATGGATCGTGAGGTTGACGGGTGGACTGGTGCTGTGGCAGCAGTAATGTGGTCTATGTACTGATCCATTTAGTTAAAGAAGGAGCTGAGCCGAAAAGCAAAGCGTTCGATTTACCGGTCAATCTACGGTCCAACTAATCTACGGGCCGGCGCGTCCATTGAGGCGACCTAGGCGCCCTATTAGGGCGGCAGAATAGCGAGGGCGGCGTCCCCAAAACTACCCTCGCCACCTGCGCCCTCAGTTGTATCCGCGTCAAGGGCGCAGAATAGAGAGAGCTGCGTCCCCGACACTACCCTCACCACCCGCGCCCTTAGTTATATCTACGTCTATTGCAGCAGTATGGAGAGAGCTGAATCCCCGACCCTACCCTCACCACCCGCGCCCTCAGTTATATCTACGTCTATTGCGGCAGTATAGAGAGAGCTGCGTCCCCGACACTACCCTCACCACCCGCGCCCTCAGTTATATCTACGTCTATTGCGGCAGTATGGAGAGAGCTGAATCCCCGACCCTACCCTCACCACCCGCGCCCTCAGTTATATCTACGTCTATTGCGGCAGAATAGAGAGAGCTGCGTCCCCGACACTACCCTCACCACCCGCGCCCTCAGTTATATCTACGTCTATTGCGGCAGAATAGAGAGAGCTGCGTCCCCGACACTACCCTCACCACCCGCGCCCTCAGTTGTATCTGCGTGTAGGGCGGCAGAACAGAGAGCAGCATCCCCGAAACTACCCTCACCACCCGCACCCTCAGTTATATCTACGTCTATTGCGGCAGAATAGAGAGAGCTGCGTCCCCGACACTACCCGCACCACCCGCGCCCTCAGTTGTATCTGCGTGTAGGGCGGCAGAACAGAGAGAGCAGCATCCCCGACACTACCCTCACCACCCGCGCCCTCAGATGTATCCGCGTGTAGGGTGGCAGAACAGAGTGAGCAGCGTCCCTGAACTTACCCTCACCACCGGCGCCCTCAGTTATATCTACGTCTATTGTTAGAAGCTTCTTATTTTAGAAGCTGTTATGACCGCAGTCAAAACCTCAAATGAAGGGGAAAAACACAAACGGATCGATCTAGGGGTTTTATGTACTGAATACCAAATTGTAAACAAAGCGGGAGGAGAAAACACAATAAATGACGGCTGAACACAAAAGGAGCACAGCTCCACGTCTGGGCGGCCGCTCAAATCCCTGTCACTGAAACGCTGCAACACGAGCTCCTAAATCACTGATGGTCAATGGTCTGCAGGTGCGGAGGAATCAACTTAAAATCAAAACACAAACAGCAACAAAACACTAGAGGGCGATAAAGTAACAGAAATAAATAAATAATGAATACATGGACATGTAACAGAAGTGAGTAAAATTTGTATTTTTGCGTGAACTAACCCTTTCTTTGTTTGTTTTTGTTTGTGGAATAGTAAAACCATCAACAAGATGTTCGCGTACAACCACAAGAAGTCTGAATGGAAAGAGCTGGCAGCCATGAAGACCCCCAGATCCATGTTTGGTGCAACTGTTCATAAAGGAAAGATCGTTGTGGTTGGAGGAGTCAATGAAGATGGCCTTTTATCCTCTTGTGAAGCGTATGACTTTGGCACAAACAAGTACGTATATGGATCACTACGTTTCAACCATTATTCAAAAATATAAGAAACAGTGAGGAAAATAAGTATTGAACACGTCACTATTTTTCCAGAAAACATATTTCTAAAGGTGCTGTTGACTTAAATCGTTCACCGAATGATGCAAAGAAAACAAAACTAATTCATTTAGCAATGAAGTTAAGTATAATGAAATTAAATGACACAGGGAAATAGTACTGAACACATGAAGAAAGGAAGATGTAGAAAAGCATGAAAAGCCCAGACAGCAGCTGAAATCTCTCAGTAGATTTTCAGCAACCCTCGGCCCTTACTTGACAATGATCCAAAGCCAAGGAAACTCTCAAATGCTTTCAGAGAAAGAAAAATCAAGCTGTAGAATGGCCCGGCCAATCAGCTGACTTGAATCTAATAGAAAAATACAAAATAAAGATCAGATTTGACAGACGAGACCCACAGAACCATCAAGATGTTCACACTCTGTTGAAAAACTCACACCTGAGCAATGCATGTGCCATATGAGAGACGGCTTTAAGCTGCCACCACTAAAAAAAACCTTTAATGCAAAGTATTAAATACATTTAGAGAAGTTCTGAATTATCTTCTGAGTTAGATCTTCTGAATTAGTGAAGAATGGAAAGTTACACTTTTTCCTGACTGGTTTTAATGCAAATACAACATATACATTTTTTTTTTTTACTTGCTTTGACTATCAGAGAGTAAAAACAACATTTTTTCCCATTTTGGACAGTTAAAAATAGTGTTTGGAACATTTCATATGCTGCAAAACAGTTGCAGGATGACACTGTATGTCTGTAACAAAATATGAGACATTCAAAGTATTTTAAATAGCCACTTAAAATGTCCTGTCCACGTATGTGGCCACTAAGCCCTAGGTTAAACCACCATTTGAATTATCATACAGACAGAAATAAGTCCTCCTACTCAGTGTATATCCTAAATTGTTTTCGCCCACAGATGGGAGGTTTTCGCAGAGTTTGCGCAGGAGAGAAGCTCTGTGAATGTGCTCAGTGTTGACGGTGTGCTTTATGCGGTCGCTGGATTCACGATAAAGGAGAACGAAGACAAACAGTGTGTGCCGTCAGAAATCACAGACATCTGGCAGTAAGTCTTCTACAGCATAAGCAATAAGGATGCATTGAATTGACGACATTAAGGACACTTAAAATGCTAAAACTAAAGCTCATTTCAAACACTTTATATTCTTTATTCATAATTATAAGCATCTCATCTCAAGTTATGAGTCATGCCGACTGTGTCATTTAAATCTATATATTTTGCCTTTATTCCAGAAATTTAGATTTTAATAAATTGATAATAAGAAGAAATTAATATTAATTAGGGGTCACCACAGTGAAATAAACCGCCAGCTTATCCAGCACATGTTTTATGCAGCAAATGCCCTTCCAGCTGCAACCCATCACTGGAACACATCCTTACACACTCATTCACACACATACACTGCGGACAGTTTAGCTTACCCGATTTACCTACACCTCATGTCTTTGGACTGTGGGGGAAACCGGAGCACCCGGAGGAAACCCACGCCAACATGGTGAGAACATGCAAACTCCACACAGAAATGCCAACTGACCCAGCCGGGACTCAAACCAGCGACTTTCTTGCTGTGAGGTGATCGTGCTATGCCACCATGACGCCCACAAATATAACAGTAGAAATGATAAATGTATTAAACAAATGTTTAATCGGCACACATAAAGCAGTTATATACAATTGTAACAACATTTCACAATAACAGTTTTTCTGTATTTTTGAATTGATGAGAACAAAATAGTGAAAAAAAAAATACGACCCAAACATGAAATACTTGACTCATATTTATGACTTCAAAATTAAAATTAAGACTTTTTTTAAAGTCTTATTCATGAGACAAAAAGTCACTATTATGACATATTCATAGTCATATTTATAAGACAGGCCAAAATTATGACATTCATGACCTTAAGTCAAAATTTACATCCTGAGTCAATATTATTACTTATATGTAGGCCCAAGCGCGTGCAGAATTGCACAGATTTTTAGCCCATTCATTGTTTTTATTTATTTACTCGAGTAAATGTGTGTAAATCAATATTTCAGTTTTTAAATTAGTTACATTAATATTATTGACTAATATTGTAACGAGGAGACTGACAAGGAGGGATCCATTTTGCAGTATTTAATAGACACCGTTCAATCACAAACATACAACACGCACTAAAGTGCGAACTCACATCAACAGCATTCAATATAGATCGTGGGGCTGTCGGCTGACAGACACAGGGTGATTTACCAGGCATAGATCAGTGGCAGGCGGCGTGGTTCAGAGTCCTTATAACAAGCGTGGGTCGAGGGCAGGCAGCGTGGTTCAGAGTCCGGGTCGAGGGCAGGCAGAAGGCAACTCAGAGTCAGAAACAGTCCGGGGTAATGCACAGAAGATCAGGCAGGGAATAACGCTCAGAAATGTTGACCGTGGCTGAACAAGAATTCACAATGAACTGGTGTTTGAGTGTGGCTTATATAGGGAGCGTGGGTCGTTAACGGGATTCAGTTCAGGTGTGTGCACAATCAGTTTAGGTGGATGATGTAATGCTTAGAAGTCTGGGGATGGCAGCCTCTGCTGGCCAGAGAGGGGAATGACTGGGACCGAGTCGGTGACAAATATGAAAATGTTCATCTGATTTATGTACAATGCAGTTTGTACAGTAATATTTTCAGTCTTTAGTAGATCTATTATATGAGAGACTTGCTTTTTTTACCAAATAAAGTGGATCTGATTGGATTTGCATTTTGAACAATGAATAAAAGTTAAAAAGATATTGTTTATTTCACATATTTAAATCGTAGTTATGATACTCCCAAAATAATTCAGCAGAAATCTGCAGATTTTTATCAAAATTCTCCGCAGAAATAGCAAAAAATGTCCGCAGATTCCGTCTGGCCCAAAAGTGTTTGCTTCGTACATCAAAATGTTTCACTGTTTTATGACTTTTTAGTTTTTTTGTTATTATAAATGTTAATTAATAATATTCTGTAGAGTAATAATTATGACAAAAACACAACTTTAAAAGGAATAAATTACTTTATAATGAATAAATATAAATATATAACTGTTATATTACACTGTAAAAAATGCAGGGTTCCACACAATTCATTTATGTTGTCCCAACATAAATCAATCGAGTTAACTATTAGCATTAACATAAAACAATTACATTGTCGCAGAAAAACTCAAGAATTGTGTTGTTTCAGCTCATTTTAAATAAGTAGTTTCAACAAGCAGCAATAATCCTTTTTTTGAATGTATCCTAATATAACAATAGAAAAATAAATAATAAACAAATATTTACCTACACACACAATGAAGTTCTATTCAATTGTAATAACATTTTACAATAACAGTTTTTACTGTATGTTTGCCTTGGTGAGAATGAAATGCTGAATAAATATCACCCCAAAAGATTGAACTGTGGTGTAAATGTTTTACATGTACAGTAAATGGGACTAAATCTGAAAGCATCTCTTTTTTTCTGCAGATATGAGGAGGACAAGAAGCAGTGGTCTGGAATGATCGGAGAGATGAGATACGCTTCTGGTGCCTCCTGCGTTTCTATGAGACTGAATGTAGCAAAGATGCCCAAACTCTAAATTCTACAGTATTTACAATCAGATGTTGGACACAAGCTACTAGAATAATAATGTTTTTAAACTGACAAAGTCAGAGTTATTAGCCCTCCTGAATTATTATCATTTCCCCCAATTTCTGCTTGACAGAAATATTTATTCAGAACATTTCTAAACATAATAGTTTTAATAACTCATTTGTAATAACTGATTTATTTTATCTTTGCCATGATGACAGTAAATAATATTTGACTAGATATTTTCCAAGACACTTCTATACAGCTTAAAGTGACTTTTAAAGGCTTAACTAGGTTAATTAGGCTGGTTAGTAACTGTAAACCAAGGAGAAGGCATTATATCACTATTTAACTAGGTTAATGGACTCTATGCACCATCTCTCCTGCATTCATCATTAACAGAAAGTTGTAAATACTACAATATTCAATATAGTATGGCTAAACATTTAATAATATTTAACACAACATACAATTACAGCGTGTTACTTCTAGTACATTATTTGTATGTGCCATCAATCTGTCTCTTCTTGTTGTGTTTCTCTCTTTGAATTAGCAGGATTTGAACGCGGGTAACATAAGACAGTCCAGTGATGTCATTTCGGACATGTTTAATAACAACTTAACTGAACTATAATACACGGTCAAAAAACTGTCTTGCTTCCATCTTCATGACACAACTTCTTCCTTCCCGGAAGTGACATCAGCATATACTCTATATTAAAAATTAAATTACTTTGCGTAAAATATTTTCAAGTTTGCCTTTTACATTATTATTAATTTAACATAAATAAAACAGTGAACTTATGGCTCTCATATTATTTTTCATTTGTACCTTTAGAACCTTATAACATCCCCAAAAGCAGCATTGAAGCAGTTTCAGTCACTCCACCTCTTCATGGAGATTGTCAGCCCGATCTGGTGCATCAATCAACTGCTGTGGGTTCTGGAAATGAACAATAATGATGTGCCAGAAGTATAAATCTTCCTTCTTTGCCGTGCTCTGATGCGTTTAGGTTTTGCTGCTATTAGATGTCACTGTGGAACGCGCTATGTGAAAGTAAAGAGACTGACTGAGATTCTATCGCAAAAACGTCAGCAGAGTTCGTGCATAGAGTCAGTTTGGGTTTTAGGCAAGTCAATGTAGAACAGTGGTTTTTTCTGTGGACAATCAGAAATAAATAGGGATGTAACGGTATCAGAATTTCACGGTACCATAATACCTCGGTATGAATGGCACGGTTCTGTATTTATTGAATAATTTACAGGAAAAAAAAAAAAACTACTGAAAAGATTCGAAAAAAGTGCTAAAAGTGTTTATTTACCTTAGCACTGAACATATCAATGACATACAAATTAGCCATCTATCTGTAAGTTTCGAAACAGGAACTTCAATTTTTCAATTTTAGTAACAAAAAACTATTAAACCATATAAAAAAATAAAGTTTCAATTTAGTATTGTTGAAAACTCATCACATTCAACATTTAATCACTCACTCGCTTAGATAGAGATGGGTTTTTTAAGGAAAATTATCATATAACTATAATCTGGTAAAAGCTGGGATCTCTGGGCATGTCCCCTGCAACAGAAATAAACCCTCTCATTTGGGACTGAGGTTTCTGGGACAGAGAGATTTGATTTAGCCAAGGTTGACAGCAGTGGGTAACATTGTGCTTTGTCTTTACACCACTTGAGAGGACAAGCCATGAGTGAGATAGAGGTTTCTTTGCGGTACAAGTCAATGTCTGCATCAATCTAACAAGTGTGCTGTGTTCTGCAGTCCCCATGACTGTTTTAGTCGTATTCCCCGACTTATATTTCACCAGTCTGGCAGTGCCTGCATACTGTTTTTTTCTTTGTCTGTCACCTTTTCTCCTTTTTCGTATCTTTTTAGAAAGAAACCGAAATGCTTCCACACATCCGATTTAAAACCCGCTTTAGGTTCGATCATTTCCAGCTCTTTTTCTCCCCCGCTACTAGCAGCGCACTCCATTTCCGCATTACTGGATCTGTAGTGACAACAGACCGCAAAGGATGATGGCCACGCCTAGGCTGATGGGAATTGTAGTTCCCGCTACCTTCCGTTCGCTTCATTCGCCTAAGCAAACTTTTCTCAGCAATATAGTTTTATTGAGTCATGCGCCTACGGTAATATTGAAAAAAATTACTATTGCGGTATGACGGTATTTACAATATTGTTACATCCCTAGAAATAAATATTGCTGAATGGGGCTAATAATTTTGACCTTAAAATGGTTTTAAAAACATGAAAACCTGCTTCTATTCTAGCTGAAATAAAACAAACAAGGCTTTCTCCAGAAAAAAAAAATTAGACGAAATACTGTGAAAAATCCCTTTGCTCTGTTAAACAGCATTTGGGAAATATTTGAAAAAATTATTTACAGGATGGCGAATAATTTTGACTTGTGTTGTAAACATGAAATCAATCTGAACCCGTTTGTTATTATATGCACATTCCCAGTCTTGTTATGGACGTTATTGAAAAAGGTTTTGAAAGCTTCAATTAAAATGTAAAGTAACTTTCACCTAGCTGATGATGTTGTTCTGTTGGCTTTATCGGACATGGAGCTTGAAGCATGCATTGGAGCAGTTTGCTGCCGAGTGTGATGCGGCTGGGATAAGAATCAGCACCTCCAAGTCTGAGGCCATGGTGCTCCACCAGAAAAAGGTGCTTTGCCACCTCCAGGTTGGAGGAAAGTCCTTACCCCAGGTGGAGGAGTTCAAGTATCCTGGGGTTTTGTTCATGAGTAAGGGAAAGATGGAAAGTGAGATTGACAGGCCGATCGGTGCAGCTGCATCAGTAATGCGGTCAATCTACCGTCCTTTGGATCTTTGAATCTACAGAGCTTTGGGTCATGACTGAAAGGACAAGATCTCAGATACAAGCGGCCAAAATGAGTTTCCTTCACAGGGTGGCAGGGCGCACCCTTATGAATAGGGTGAAGAGCTCTGACACCCGGGAGGAGCTCGGAGTAGAGCCGCTGCTCCTCCACATCGAGAGAAGTCAGCTGAGGTGGCTTGGGTATCTGTTTGGGATGCCTCCTGGTCGCCTACCTAGGGAGGTGTTCCAGGCATGTCCCACCAGGAGGAGGCCTCAGGAAAGACCCAGGACACACTGGAGGGACTATGTCTCTCAGCTGGTCTGGGAACACCTCAGGATCTCCCCGGAGGAGCTGGAGGAAGTGTTTGGGGAGAGGGAAGTGTGGCGTTCTCTCCTGAGACTGCTGCCCCCACGACCCGGCCCCCTTTAAATGATTAAAATGAATGAATGTAATTTTCTCCACCTGATTTATGCTGACATTATTAAAGCATCAGCCGTATTCTGTCTACGAAAGTAAAATGGTAAGAAAATGTCGACCTGAAGCAAAAAAAGACCACAGATTTATATTTCATGCTGGATTCTGTTGTGATGAAAAACATTTATGCAACAAACACCAAAATCCAACATTTACAATGTTTTTTTAATATATAAAATGCATAATAATAAATACACATTTAAAGGCAAACAGGTATACACTTATTCCCTCTGAATGAAAACAGTGATATTTTTACCTGAGAAAACATTTCTGTCATTACAAAATGAGGACGTACAGTGATAATTCATCTAAAATATATATGTTGTTATTAATTTTTTCTTACCCTCAGGCCAGACGCGAAGTGACGTTCATTCTTCAGTACAACATTAAAAATTCCTTTAGCTGAAATGTCAAATGACTCTGGGACTTTTGAGTAAACAAAAAAAAAAAACATTAAGGCAAATCAAAATAAATATTGGTGGCTCCTGAAGACACATTGAGGTCTTAAGAAATTAAGTCTGTGCAAAAACTGAACATTATTTTCAACATTATTTGACCTTTTTAGTCTCGAGCGTGTTCATCAATCATCAGAAGGCATTTGATGTTTTGACTATATATTTTGCCCCACTAGCTGTTGTATTGCATTTTATGGATCACAATTTTGGCTAAAAATCTTATTCACAGAAATCACATGCAAAATAAAATATCAAATGAAAATTTATTTTTGGAGGGCGAACTATCCAATTAATATGCATTTGAATAATAAGACTGCATATACATTTTTGGGAGGGCGAACTGTAAAATTAATATGCATTTAAATAACAATTATATGCAGACTTTAAGTGCATATTCATTTTTGGAGGGTAAACTATCCAATTAATATCCAATTTAATATCAATTAGATGCACATATTACATGCATATTCATTTTTGGAGGGTGAACCATCCAATTTAATATTAATTAGTTGCAGATATTAACTGCATATTGATTTTTGGAGAGTGAACAATCTAATTATTATCCATATTAATTTGAATTAGATTCCGATATTAACTGCATATTGATTTTTGGAGGGTGATCTGTCCAATTAATATCCGTTTTCATATTAATTACTTGCAGGTATTAACAGCATATCAATTTTGGGAGGGAGAACAATGCAATAATTATGCATTTGAATAATAATTTGATGGAGATATTAAGTACATATTCATTTTCCGAGGGCAAACAATCCAATTAATATCCATTTTAATATCAATCAGATGCAGATATTAAGTGCAAATTGTATTTTGGAGGGTGAACCATCCCTTTAATATCAGACAAATTAAGGATACCCTGAAATGCAATGCTTTCATAGTACAGTGTGTCCCTTTGACATTCAGTGAGTTGTATTTGATGGCATATTTTGATGTATATAACTGTAAGAGCTTATGGTAACTCTGTAAATATTTTCTCCTTCAGATATTCTTTCCATGCGTCGTCAGTGGAAAGCTCCATTGAGTTCCATTCATAGTGAGGAATCTGTGTAGAAATGCACATTATTAGCAGAAGTATACAAATGTAGATTGTTTATATCTTTTGCATATAACAGTATATTATACGAGATGATTTCGTTTTTACCTTTCTACCTAAATTTCTGCATGAAATGCAATGTTACGTGCCATTTCTTGAATAAAATGCATTTCTTTAATGAAATAAAATCAGAAATTTACTAGTGACAATAATGTAAAAATGTCTGTAAAGATCACACATTTGTATGTAAACTAAGAGTTAAAGATGACAACATTTTATTTTTAAATTCGGTAAGAAATGCCATCAGCAGTTTTCACAATAAAAAAAATACGTAAACACAGCTATATTGTCATTTAGAGCAGTGGTCCCCAACCACCGGGCGGTGGACCGGTACTGGCCTGTGGATCAATTAGTACCGCACAAAAAATCATTAATTATTTCTGTTTTATTTATTATCAGAGCCTGAACGGTCTTTTATTTTGAAAAATCTTTTATTTAGAAAAATGACTGTATTCTCTCGGCTACATCTCAGTCACTTGAGCTCCAAAATTGAACCCACAAGCAGCAAAATGATTAAGAAACAGACATCTTTGAAACGGTTCTTTGCTAAAGGGAAAAGGCCCAGTGAAGGACCCACGAACTGCCAGGGAATGGATCCGCAACCTATTTGTCAACAAATCAGGTGAATCCAGCATGTCTGTGCAAAAAGAAGATTAACTGCTGGAGATCGCAAATAATAGCGACCTTTTAGGGGCCGTTCACATATCATGTTTTCTGCTCGCAAATTCGTTATTTCCAAAGGAGATGTTTGGCTCGTGACGCACTTCCAGACGCCCCCAGTTGAATGAATGCTGCGAGCAAACCGCAAGTCAGATGACAAAAACTTGATCCTTTGTTTGGAATGAAAACATTTCAGTAGACTAATCTCAGACAAACACAGAACACCCAAACTCTGCAGTGCTTTGTAATTTGCTACTTAAATAAAACTTGTATCAGAGTGACAGCAATGTTTTGTCAGCTTGTCATCCTCTGGGAAAACGGTTAATGGTCACCTAGCAACCTACGTAAACTCACCCTCAAGCGTTGACTGGTCCGCAGTAATCAAAAGGTTGGGGACCACTGATTTAGCCATGTTTTTAGATATTTTTATATATTTATTTATGTTTTATATTCAGAACTTTAAAAAAGCAATAGTGCCAGGCAAAAATTCATCATGCTTAATAGTTTGTTTTGACATAATATATATGTGTATGCTGTGTACATTTATTATGTATATACAAATACACACATCCATGCATATATTTGAGAAAATGTTCATTTATATTTAGATATAATATATGCATATTATATTAAAAAGAATTATCTTAAAACAATTGTTTCAATATCTTTGTAACACAAAAGTTTAGTATAGTTTTGCTTACTTGTTTCTGCATGCATTACATGTACATAATAAATATATAAAGTACACACACATATATAAATTCATAATAAACTTCTAATTTTGGATGTGATTGATCGCGACTAATCTTTGCCCGAGCACTAACAACAAACTTATTTAGTGGAATAACCCTGATTTTCTGAACAAATTAAATCATTTGTTTTTCTGACTAGTCATGTCTGAAATAAGCTCTAAATGACAATATTTTATTTGAAATAGGAAACAAATATTATCACACATAAAAACATTTATTACTATAAAAATCTACAATTGTACAAAAAATATTGTTATTTAAAATAAAATACAGTTATGGATAATATTAGCATTATTGATGATGATGATGATGATGATGATGATAGTAATAGTAGTAGTACTTAGAATTTTTTTTAAGGGATAACAATTTTGCCTTCAACTGTATACCTTATTTTGAAATTCAGCCAAACAAAAATTAAAGTGATATAATTATTATTATTTTTGGACCAAATATCACCCAGGCCTTGTTGGCACTACATAATCAGTAATATTATGACTCCATCCCCCATAAACTCTATCAACTGACCTGTAATACATGGTATCCTAAAATCTCCAGATGTCTTTTCTTCATCGTAGCCTCTCCTTTCATGTGCCGAGTGTTTCTGCAAAAGGATCTGGAGTCCAGGAAATCCAGGCCAATGCTGGACAGATGATTATTACAGTGCTTAGCATAAATCATACATTTATTTGGACTTTCCACAGGATGCTTTACAATAATATATCTGTAATTACAAGCCTTTTTAATCTTTAATTGCTTAATAAATATATTGTAATCAATCATGTCAAAGAAGTTCCCCTACGTGGTTCTTCATCCGTTAAAATGATAAATACAAAGATACTAATGGTTGTAGAAAATACTGTAAAAGATCAGTGATTGGCACAATATCCTTTGCATATTTTTATACTACATGTTGGTTTGCACAATACACAGTGTTTAGCATATACTGTATAAGTACACCCCTCACAGATCTCAATATTAAATCTGTGCATATACAATAGATTAGTCAATACAAAAGCCAAATCTAAAAAAATCTAACAAAGGAAAAAAATGAAGAAGTACACCTAAATTTATGTTTTAATAGACAGGAAAAATCAAGAAAAACATAATTATAATAATTAATTATGTTAATAATAAATAATAATTATTATTATTATTAATAAATATTATAAATAATAATTATTAATAAATAATAATAATAATTTCAGTTAAAATTTTGTAGTTTATCATTTTTTTAATGCAAATCTCACTTGAATTTACATGTTCAAGCCCAAATCAAAGAAAGTCGGGACGCAAATAAAGAAGTAGTGATTTTTAAATGTATTTTGAATTGTATTTCACTGCAGACAATACAAGATAAATACCATTATTTAATGTGCTCCTCATAGTTTTTATGGTTGGTTTGTTTTCAAAATAAACACGTAATCCAGTTTTGATTCTTGAAACACATTTTTAAATAGTTGGAGTCGTAAAGCATTTTCCTCTTTGAAATGTTGCCATTCCTTTTCACAACACTTACAAGATATTTAGGAACTAAAGACACCAAATGATGAAGTGATTCAGGTGTAATTTAGTCCCATTCTTCCTGTAAACGAGTCCCAAGCCTGGTTTATACTTCTGCGTCGAGTGATCGTCGTTAAACAGCGCATGCCTTGCCCGTTGCCGTGCATTTATACTTCTGCACGCTGTTTGTGTTCCTCTGCACCTAACACACCTGTTTGTAATTATCAAATGCTGCTTTAGGTACTATTAATTGGTTCAGGTGTGTTTGATCAGGGTTGGGACTGAATTCTGCTGGAAGGTAGCTCTCCAGGAACAGGGTTGTTGACACCTGGACTAGACCGTTCTTGGAAGCTGCTTTTGTACCAAATCATAATTACTATCACCTGTGGACATCACCTGTTAACTTTATTTGGAATGTGTCGCAGGTCTGCATTGCAGGAAAGGATGTATATCTACAAATGAAATGAAGTTGACCAGACAAACATTTAAATATATATATCGTGTCTGCAATGAAACACAAGTCAAACTTGGAAATCACGACTTTCTTTTGTGTATTTGCGTTTTGCATACCGTCCCAAATTTTTCTGATTATCTTTCCATTCCTAAAGATCTTTGATGATCAAGCTCTTATTTTATTGGATATAACCGTTTCGTTTAAATGCATTACAATTATTGGCTGTATTTACTGAGAGATGGCTAAAAATATTGATTTTCAAAAGCGAGTGTACTCCTTTATGCAGAGCACTGTACGTCTGAACTATTTTAAGTCTATGGAGTGTTTAGGTCACATGGCATACACACCGGCGCGCACCGGGCGGCAGCTCTGTCCTCTCCTTCTCTGCTGATCCAGACTGCCAGTGACCTTTCCCACCGCCGCTGATCTGCAGTCGAGTCGGCTCACTGTACGGCAGCGGGTGCAGATGACGATCCAGAACAAGCTCAAAATCTAGTGAGAAAAACAGCAGCAGTGATGTAACCAGGACCATCATAGTGTACCATTATCTGTTTCCATCCAAAGATGCGAATTAGACTTATGCACAAAACTGGAATATTGCATAAAAATGTTGCGAAAAAAGGAGCTTCGATTTCCATCCAATGAGTGAAAGACAACAAAATCATCACTTCCTGATAAACGAGCACCAAATATCAATTCAAGAGTTCACACTTCGCTGATGATTGATTATAAGCAAGTTTGGCATGCTGTCCCGGGAGAGAGCCCTGAGCTCAAAGGTTCTTGAGCTCTGGGCTCCCTCCCGTTTGGAGGGCGAGAGGGGAGCTTTGAGCTCAAGCAGATCTCGACAACTCCCCCTTGATAAAAACTGATGACTAAAAATTGAATGCTATGAAAAGATATGCTGCATGGTGAGAGATTAACTGTAGTGCAAAATTTAGATTTATCAATTTACTTCTTGTGCATGTTTTTGGAATGTGGGAGGAAACCGGAGGACCCGGGGAAAACCCACGCAAGCACGGGAAGAACATGCAAACTACACACAGAAACGACCACCGGCCTGTTATAGGACTAGAACCGGTGACGTTCTTGCTGTGAGGCGACAGTGCTAATCACTGGGCCACCGTGCTGCCCCATGGAGGGAAAGGTGAAGAGGTAGGGGTGGAAGGGGGGATTCTTCAAACCGAAGATGACTGTAGTGAAAAAACCCTGGCTCTTTATAGTGGGTTAGGAATGGCCTGATTGGTGGATCATGCATGCTAATGCAGAACCAGCCGCGTTCAATCATAATCACGTGCTCCAATCGAAATTAGTTTATGAAAAAACTTTACAAAGATTTTTGTGTAAGCAGAGTCAGACCGAACTGTCCTAATTAAATAATTAAAAATCAAGGCATTATCATATTTTATTTTGGTAAAATAAGCGTAATCTAAAGGCCTTTGCTTTTCATATAAGCCACATCTGATACCAAATGATCAACTAGAAGTCAAGTTATTATCTGTTGCTCCCAAAACTTGGATATGCCTTGTCAGGTAGTGTACATGTAACTCACCGACAGTATAGTAATACGGAGTCACCACTGCTGCTTTGGCACAGTTGATTCCTCCCAGGACTTCACCAAGAATCTTATGGATCTGCTGCTGGATTGGGCTGATGGAGCTGTTGGCTACAATGTGAGAGAAATTACACCTTGACTTTAACCAGACAAACTTTACTGTCATATGAATTGTACCGGTGTACACAGAACAAAATTTTCTAGTATTGGCTCTGCAGTTTCAGTAAAGAATAACACTAAACAGTAAGTAAATGAATAAATAATAATCATTGTTGGAGCCATTTACGGGTTGCAATTTTCTATTGCACCACTAGAGGGTGTATAAGGTATTTAAGCTCTACTCACGACGAGTGAGAGATGTGTAGAAGAAGGTCATGCAAACTTTTTGACCGCCATGCTGTGAGAACGGGTTTATGTTTGTTTTGATGTTTACTTTTAATGTTGAGAAAGGACAATAAATGGATTGGAATATCCAACTTTATTTGTAAAGGTATGGACATTTTACTTTTTTTATTGACCCGTTCAAGCAACAAACGCGTCAGAACCAAAGACCAAAATATTCGCCTCTACAATCATATACACAGCAGCTGACTGATGGTCCTAATCGTCAGGTGGATCTGTAGCACAAATCGTTTAAGGGTGAAACTGTATATTGTGGTTTAACATAAGGCGTTGTTGCACTCCTTGATACGGCTAAGGCACGGTTGAGCACGTACTTGAACACCGCTGACCGGTTAACATGCTCAACAGAAACGACTGTGAAGATCATCGGTTCATAGCCCTCCTGTGAATTTTTACTCTTTTACAAATATTTCCCAAATGATGTTTAACAGAGCGAGGAATTTTTCACAGTATTTCTGATAATATTGTTTCTTCTGAATAAAGTCTTCGGCATCAATAAAAGCAGTTTTTAATTTTTAAAACCATTTTAAGGTCAATATTATTAGCCCGCTTAAGCAATATTTCTTACGATTGTCTACAGAACAAACCATCATTATACAATAACTAAGTTTACATGGACATCAGTAATTGAATCATTTGTCTTAATCTAATTAAGAGAATAATAAGACTAAGGTGTTTACATGAGTTGCTTTTTGAATGTTCCTTTCATGATCCCGTTTTACAAATTATAGCGCATAATTCAATTAATGTCATTGCGTCGTCACGCTATCCGCATTTCCTCCGGAGTTTCATGTAATTTCGGGTGTTAATTCATTCATTCATTCATTCATTTTCTTGTCGGCTTAGTCCCTTTATTAAACTGGGGTACCCACAGCGGAATGAACCGCTAACTTATCCAGCAAGTTTTTTACGCAGCGGATGGCCTTCCAGCGGCAACCCATCTCTGGGAAACATCCACACACACACAGACTCATACACTACGGACAATTTAGTCTTCCCAATTCACCTATACCGCATGTCTCTGGACTGTGGGGGAAACCGGAGCACCCAGAGGAAACCCACGCGAAGGCAGGGAGAACATGCAAACTCCACACAGAAACGCCAGCTGAGCCGAGGCTCGAACCAGCGATCTTCTTGCTGTGAGGCAACAGCACTACCTACTGCGCCACTGCTTCGCCCTAATTTCGGGTGTTTCATTTTTAATTTGTCGACTTTAACTGTAGTTTGGCACTTTCACTTTCATTCGGGAACATTTCACGCACGCCCTTCCATGACAATTGAGATATTGGATGAAACTTTGAACTGCTGGAAGAGTGATGTTTTAGTGAAAGTTCATACCGCATGCTGAATGCAAGGAAAAAAAACCTCCGCATTTCACGATGCAGGTGTCTGTGGTCTGCACTGACTCGGTAGTTGCAAAGAGTGTCGAACAGTTGCGCATGTGTGTGGGTGTGTGGTCTATTGTGTGTGCCACAAAACGCAGCGAAAAGTCCTACATGATGTAATAGTTTGATTAAGGTGTTTACAGGTCTGTATTGCAGTTTATTAATGCGACTAAAATCAGAATACTCCACTTGTCTTAATGCGATTTCTTTTACAGAACAAATTCCAGTATGAGTATTAAAAAAAGGTCATGTGATTTTGTTATAATAGATCATGTGATGATAACGTGTGTGAATGGACAAACCAGCAGGCTGAGCACACTGTAAAACATCTGAAATGTTGTTCTGGTCATTCTAAAACGCCTGAACCGTTTCAGTATTAGTGATATCATATTATTAATGACCTCCAGAATCAAGAGCGTCTGTGCTCCGCGTCTGACACCTTTAAACACCACCGCGCGTTCACTGCATGTCAAGATTTGCCTTCTAAGGTGCAAGTCATTTATAAGATAAAGAAAAGATTGATGCAGCTTCTCCTACTGCAGCAAATTCAGTTTTTACTGTTGATATTTGGTGCCAGATAATCAGGAATTTTGTTCGCTTTGACTCGTTGGATGAAACGCTGCTTTATTTGCACATCTTATATACAATAATCCAGTTTTGCGCATAAAGTTTATTTGCATTTTTAGATGGAAAGTAGCTACTGATTGCCTAATTACCCTAAATTAACCTAGTTAAGCCTTTAAATGTCACCTTAAGCTGAATAATAGTGTCTTTAAAAATATCTAGTCAAACATTGTGTACTGTCATCATGGCAAAGATAAAATAAATCAGTTATTATAAATTAATTATTAAATGTATTATGTTTAGAAATGTGTTGAAATGAATCATCTTTCTGTTAAACAGAATTGAGAAGCAAATTCTACAAGGGGCAAATAATGTATCCAATATAAAAGCGGCCATGGTTTACCCACCTCTCTTCTGCAGCTGTTGACAGTAACGCTCATGAAACCATGGCACATGAAACTCTGGACACTCCAGACACACGGCGCGGTTCAGCTGCATGAGGCGGAGACGGATGTACAGGTTCTGAGACTCTGGAAAGGCTGTTGGCAATAAGAAACATAACAGCACTTAAAGCACACACATCCAAACTGACAAATGAACAAGTCCATATCTAATTCTAGGGTCAATCATCGCACTCACAGTGAATTAATGGATTCTTTTTGGGTGAGAAATTAATGTAAACACAGACATCAGATAAAAGGTGTAAATGTAACCCCGCCAGTCCGACACCACCCAACCCGCTCCGAGCTGGTATCGAACCGGCGACCTTCCACATGGGAGTCAGTTGCTCTAACAAGGAGGCTAAAGACCATAGCCTCTAGCGTCAGTTGCTAGAGCACCTTTAGAGGTCAGAGGAGTGAGGTTTACCTGCACAGCACGCAGTTACACTCACCCTCCTAAACCTTACTCCCATCCGGGTCACGGCACCAATGTAACCCCACCAGTCCTACACCACCCAACCCGCTTTGAGCTGGGATAGAACTGGCGACCTTCCGCATGGGAGTCGGTTGCTCGAACAAGGAGGCTAAAGACCAAGACCTCTAGTGTTTGTCGCCAGAATACATTTAGAGGTCAAAGAAGTGAGGTTAACCTGCACAGCACTTACTAACTGGCCTCCGTTATATAAACAGGACAGCCAAAAATTCAGATATGGGCAAACGTGCATTAAAGGGATAATTCTCTCACTCCACACACACACTCACACAAAATTGTTTGAGATTCGTTCGTCTGTTGAACACAAAAGAAAATGGATGCTGCAAACTGATAGCCATTGACTTCCATAGTATGTTTTTTCCTACTAAGGACGTCAATGGCTACATACTACATACTTGACTGATTGCATTAAGAAATGCAAAAAATAAAAAATCAAGAAAAAAATCCCGAAAGTTTTCTAAAATGCCATTTTTAACATCACAAATGAGTCATATTTCTTAAAATCTTATTTTAATATTCACCATTTGTTTCCAAAATAAAAGACTGTCATAGAGCTGATTATACTTATTTATCTCAAACTAAATGCTGCCTCTGATGACGACTCGCATGACACTCTTAAACAGGTGCCTGTAAAACCCAGGGAAAACAGCCTGAGTGTCCTAGTTTTAGATCATATCTTTCTGATCGCATTGCTTCTGTGCAACTTAAAAATGACAGATCAGAAATGATACTTCATAACTGGTTTTCCCCAAGGCTCTGTCTTTTATTCTCTTTTATATCCAATAACTGTCTCTTGAACCAATTTTCAGAAAGTCTGCAATTCACAATCACTGCTATGCTGACAGCACCCAACCTAACTATGGAGGAGCAGGAGTGCCCATTAGAAATAAAATGAAGAATCACATTATCAATTTAATAAAATGTGTCTAAAAGAATAACAATTTAAATGAACAATTAATGGACAATAAATGGACATAATTAACATTGACATGATGTGTTTATTTAAATTTTGATTTTAAATGTCATTTATTAAATCAATAAAACAATGCATTTATAAATAATTTTTAAATGTACAAATAAATAAAACATGTTATAATGTGTTTATTCAAATCACGTTTTAAAAGGCTGATTAATCAAACAATAAAATGTGTATTAATAAATCATTAAAATGCACAATTATAATAATAATAATATTAATAAATTGTTTATAAATAATGTTTATTTCTTTTTTTAGGTTTATAAATAATTTGCTTGTTTTCTTTTTTGTCGTAACATGTTTAAGGTTATCAAAATTAATGTACAATGTGCTTTTACAGCCATAATCAAAGGCAAGTTTTACAAAAAATGTGCAAGGGGTAACAGTAACTATAGTAATCCTTAAAAATAAGAAAATAAGTTAATAGATAAATGGAGCTAAGGAAAAAAGAAGAAGCCACATGCTTTCCTTCAAGGCCTCCCTCAAGGCTCAGTCTTAGCTCCCTCACTTTTTTCATTATATATGCTTCCGCTAGGGGCATATATTGTGGTGAATATACTCCTGTAATGCATACTGCAGTTCCTTTTTATCTGGCTTTCTCGGATATTTCACCTGTTCGCCAAAAATGACATCATATCTTTGGCAATGTCTGACACCAGTGCACACACATTTAAAAAGCTGTGCCAGGGACAAAAGCTTGACAGGCGTAGCAACAGTAACTAAGGAGGGCGGTGCTTAGTGAAGGGTTCATTGGGCTTACAGAAACCATTGGGCATGGTACAGAAGCTTTATTTGTAAAAACCAAATTTCAGTATAAATGTAAATATAGTACTGCATCTCAATACCTGATGTTTAATATACTATTTACTGCAATGAACAGAAATTGCATATTTTTGTCATTTTTTATGACAACCTTAGTCAGGGTTTCACAGAGGGGTTACATCCACCTGTAAATTTTGTTTCCCAATTTCTGTTTAACAGAAAGAAGATTTAATAACTCGTTTCTAATAATTTATCTTTGTCATGATGACAGTAATTAATATTTGACTAGTTATTATTCAAGACACTAGTTTTCAGCTTGAAGTGACATTTAAAGGCTTAACTATGTTAATTAGGCAAGTTAGGGTAATTAGGCAAGGTTAATAATATATCAGGGGGCTAATAATATTGACCATAAAATGTTTTTGTTTTCCATTTAAAACTGCTTTTATTCAATCCAAAATAAAACAAATAAGACTTTCTCCAGAATAAAAAATATTATAGGAAATACTGTGAAAAACTCCTTGCTCTGTTAATCATCATTTGGGAAATATTTGAAAAAGAAAATTTACAGGAGGGCTTAAAATTCTGAATTCAACTGTATGAGCTAACGTGCTTATCAAATCATCAATTACTGCCTTATTGTAGACAGCAAATATGGCACATAACTACATGCAATCTAATGTCGATAATGGACATACTCTCAAGATGGGCATCCAACTTCGCTAGAAAGTCAACGCTGAATATTTCTCGGATCATCTCCTCTGGAAAGTAATCAGCCATCGCCAATGCGTGAGCCATCAGAACCAGCAGGTGAGGGTCAAAGGAGCCTGTTTGATTGGGCAAAAACCGACAGGTTAGAATCGTTCAGGGCTAAAATCAAATCATTTATAAATGCAGAGTGGAAGGAGCTTACCAATATATGGAGTGATATGTTGAATACACGCATCAAAAAACTCCTCTACCATTGGTGGGTCGTAGTTTAGTATAGCATAAGGCAGCAGTGTGATATATGCATCAGAGTAATGAATCTGTACAGAAGATAAAGACCAACATACAAATATATATATTATATTAAAGGCTGCCAAAAATATGATATTATATAATAGTATTTTATTTTATATTATATTATATTATATTATATTGAATTATTTATATTTTTTTAATTATATTATATTCTTTTATATTATATTATATTATATTATATTATATTATATTATATTATATTATATTATTTTATATTATATTATATTATATTATATTATATTATATTATATTATATTATATTATATTATATTATATTATATTGTATTATTTTATATTATATTATATTATTTTAAATTATATTATATAATATTATATTATATTATATCATATTATATTATATTATATCATATAATATCATATTATATTATATTATATTATATCATAGTATATTATATTATATTATTTTATATCATATTATATCATAGTATATATTATATTTTATTATTTTATATATGCATTTTAAATAATATTGAAAACAAAACATTTTACAAAGATTTAAAATTTAAATATATTACAAAAAAGTGCAAATACTTTACAATATTACTGCTTTTATTCTTATTGTTTGAATCTTTGCTATTTTATTTATTATTTATTATATCTTATTTGACTTCAATAACTATTATACCCTTTCTCTATTGCACATATGAATTTTGTTTATCATTTATTTTGAAGTACTTTGATTAAATTAAACTGAAACAATCAATAGATAAAACTTTAAAATACGCAATTACACATCTGACACGCGCACACACGCACGCACGCGCGCACACAGACAATACAAATAGTTTAACATATTAAATAGCATAAAATTACCTTTGTAAAACTTAATATAAAAGTTAACCTTATATACCCTTAATAAAAGAGCACTTAACATATTAACTAACACTACAAATACAATTAAATCAACATAATTAATATAAATGTGTATATTAATATAAATTGTTAATCCTATTTAAGCTTACTACTTAACCTTAAAACTGAATTCAAGCACTAAAAAGCCAAATTGAAATTAAAAATGAACTGAAAATGTAAAAATAAACAGCAAATAATAATAATAATGAAACCCTACGAAAACAAAAATAAACCTTATGTAAATTATATATACATAATTATATATACATATATATATATATACATACATATATATATATATATATATACATATATATATATATATATATATATATATATATAAACACAGGCCACTTTATTAGGAACACCTTACTAGTAGGGTTGGAGACCCCCTGTTGCCTTCAGAACTGCCTTAATCCTTCATGGCATAGATTCAACAAGGCACTGGAAATATTCCTCAGAGATTTTGGTCCATACTGACATGATCATGACCATATTGACAGCATCACACAGTTGCTGCAGATTTGTCAGCTGCACATCCATGATGCGAATCTCCTGTTCCACCACATCCCAAAGGTGCTCTATTGGATTGAGAACTGGTGACTTTGGAGGCCATTTGAGTACAGTGAACTCATTGACATGTTCAAGAAACCAATCTGAGATGATTCAGGTTTATGACATGGGTTATCCTGCTAGAAGTAGCCTTTACAAGATAGGTCCACTGTGGTCAAAAATGGATGGACATGGTAGGTTGTGGCGTTGACACGATGTTCAATTGGTACTAATGGGCCCAAAGCCTACCAAAACAATATCCCCCACACAATTACACAACCATCATCACCAGCCAAACCATTAATACAAGGCAGGATGGATCCATGCTTTCATGTTGTTGACGCCAAATTCTGACCCTACCATCCAAATCGAGACTCATCAGACCAGGCAACGTTTTTCCAGTCTTCAGAGCCTGTGCGAATTGTAGCCTCAGTTTCCTGTTCTTAGCTGACAGAAGTGGCACCCAAAATGCATTGAGTTGCAGTCATGAAATTGGCTGATTTGATTTGCGTTAATAAGCAGTTAGACAGGTGTACCTAATAAAGTGGCCGGTGAGTGTATATATGTGTATATGTGTGTGTGTGTGTGTGTGTGTGTGTATATATATATATATACATATATATATATATATATATATATATATATATATATACATATATATATATATATATATATATATATATATATATATATATATATATATACATATACATATACATATATATATATATATATATATATATATATATATATATATATATATATATATATATATATATATATACACACACACACACAACATAAATGATTAAAACTGATAAATGATTAAAGACGATGACTTTTTCGTTAAGACAACAAATGGACAAATACCTGCAATACTGGGAGAAATGGATTATGCCTTTGCCTTTACACTGTGTAAACTGTATCGTTATATATATTTGTTAATGTTACCTGTATTGAAATATGTGCCCAGTCACATTTAAGTTACAATGTTATTGTATTTTTTATTTCTTTCCTAAATAAGAAATAAAATTAAAGTATAAAAAACAATCAAGACTCCCACCTTGTCGATATTTTCAACGGTCACACTAGCGATGCGGTCCAGCAGGGCAGTACACAAGTAGTTAGTCCTGGTCAGATAAATGGCCAGCTCCTGCACGTTAGTCCAGGATATCTGATCGATCATTTTCTGCATAGTGACAATCGATTTCTCCAGCAGCATCTCCTCGAACCATTCCCCCGACATGAACTTCAGCTCCTCCAAAACCCCATCCAGACGCTGGAAATGTTTCAGTCGCTCTCGTCCACAACGGTTCAGGGTCTGGAGCAGCTGAACGTACCTGCTAGGGGTGTTTATCCTATATGAAGGGTCATTGCGAATCCATTTGGCCACAACAATGGAGTAGGTGTTGAGGTTGTTGAGGCTGCACTGTGGGAGAACAGCATTCACTCGGGACACGACGCCTTCGTCAAGACGGCGGGAGGGGAGCATGGAAAGAACCCTAATTAGCACAGTCACCTCAAAAGGGTACACGCTGCTTTGTAGGTGACTATTAGACGAAAGACAGAAATGGTGTGTTATTATAAATGCCCTATTATGACATTTTTACATGCATTAGGTTTACAGAACATGTTTTATACAGTGGAAATTAGAATTATTAGCCCCCCTTTTAATTTTTGTTTCTTTTTTAAATATTTCCCAAACTATGTTTAACTGAGCAGGGAAATTTTCACAGTATGTCTGATAATACTTTTTCTTCTGGAGAAAGTCTTATTTGTTTTGTTCTGGCTAGAATAAAAGCGTTTTTTAATTTTGTAAGAACGATTTTAAGGTCAAAACTATTAGCCCCTTTAAGCTTTATTTTTTTTGATAGTCTACAGAACAAACCATCGTTATACAATAACTTGCCTAATTACCCTAACCTGCCTAGTTAAGCCTTCAAATGTCAATTTAAGCTGTATAGAAGTGTCTTAAAAATATCTGGTCAAATATTATTTACTGTCATCACGGCAAAGATAAAATAAATCATTTATTAGAAATGAGTTATTAAAACTATTTTGTTTAAAAATGTGTTGAATAAATCTCTCCGTTAAACAGAAATTAAGGAAAAAAATAAACAGAGGGGCTAATAATTCTGACTTCAACTGTATATATAAAAGATAGCTGGTGTTCGTCAAGGCTCAGTATTGGGGCCTCTTTTATTCTTTATCTATTCACTGGATCTTGGACAAAACTGATCTGCAATTCGCCCCCATTGCTAAATTATGCTGAAAGCATCTTCCATTCTATATTCTTTAAAATTAAACTATTAAAATTAATTTTACTGAGAGAAAAAATCTGAGAGGAACTATATTCTGTGTAGAAAAAGATTTATGAAAAGATTTGTTCAACCCAAGCTCATTCTGGAAACGTAGCCCCGCGGACGTTTCTGGAGACCGCGATTTACGTGGCCGGAGGTACGTACGGCCGTGTTTAGTTTTTTTCGAGCAAACGCTGCGGGGCGGTGTGGCACCGCTCCGCTGCTCCTCTTCGCGCTCGCCGGCCGACGGCTCACCTCCGAGTGGAGGGCTTTCTCGATGCAACCAGTTTGTCCGCTTAGCTCACAGCGTTGCGTCGGCGGAGGCCGCGGAGGAGGAGGAGCTGGCCGCAGGGACGACGACCAGGATCGAGTTCGGGGAACAGCGGTTCCAGAAATCAGGTAAGATGAAAAACAGAATCCGAAAAATAAGGGCAAGAACGCGGCGGGATCCGAAAACGCGGTCGAAATCGAAGACGAGGGCTTTTGCTTTTTTTTTTTTTCTGGACGGCTTTTGCAAACCGTCGCTTGGGTTTAGGGAAGGAGGAGGAGGAGGAGGAGGAGGAGGAGGAGGAGGGCGGCCGGGTCGGCCGATCCGGCGGCTTTTCGCACAAGAACAGCGCGGGCGCGAACGGCGCTCGCTCCCGAGAGGCACCCGAGACGCGAAAAAGCGCACACAGCGGCCTCTCGCGGATCCGCGAAAAAAAAACCCGCTCGAATACGTACCTTCCGGGACGTATCTCGCGGTCCGCAGAAACGTCCGCGGGGCTACGTTTCCACAATGAGCCCGGGTTGGATTTGTTCCCAGACTCTGAGACAGTATCCCCTTTCACGCAGTGATACCGGTGAATATCCAGAAAATTTCCAGAACGACTTTACTGGTACATTCAAAAATGTGCTGTTCACACAGGCACGGATGTTCTGGAATTTTTCAGAAAAAGAGCATTCACACATCCATTCCAAAATACCGGTAAATTCTGTCATCATTAACCAGATATGAGCTCTAAACGGCTGCGCTTGTATTTGTAAACATAAAAGGGGTCAACCTGTTGTTGATGATTTCACTTTTATTTAAAGCTTTAGCATTCATGCAGCTGCTATTTGAGACATCAAAAGGCAGAAGCGTGAACCGCAGCTAAATGTTTATACATCTGACTACATTACAAATTATGTGCAAGGATAAGTTTTCAGATGTTGAGATATTCATAATATGTGTGTGTGTGTCCTATGTGTTCACATGCACACGCGTCAAGCAACTAAAGCAGAGCTTAAAGGTAAACAAACAGCAGTTTAACATAAGCATTTTACCAATATTTTTTACACAGTTGGCATTAAGAAGGAACATATACGTTATCTGACTAACAACTTGCAGCTGAATGTGTCTGGAAAAATATTCAAAGGCTTTTATATTTATAAGCATGGATGTGAATGCGTCTGAATGTTCTGATTGGCTGGAGTAGACGTTTCACGTCAGCACATTTTAAGCATTAACCCAATCTTTCCGGCAATCTTCCTTCTCTGTTCACACAGCGCAGCATTCCGGCAAATTACCGGTAATGTTACAACTTCTCTTTCTGGAAAATTGCCGGAATGAATTTATCTGTATTTTCAAAAAGGGCCTGTTCAGACATGATCCCTTTCTGGAAAATTGCCTGTAATTTTCAGAAAAGGTCTGTATGTGTGAAAGGGGCTAGTGACTGAACAGATCTCTGTGGTTTTGGAAACACTCACTGAAGCAGTTTGGTTTTCAGTCTGGAGAGGATGTCGGGATTCTGGCAGTGCAGCAGGACAAGCGCTTGAGTAATTCGAGTGATTTCCAGTGGCCGATAGGTTTCCAGATTTTTGTAAAGTACCGACTCCATCCTGTCAGAAAAAAAACACGTAAAATTTTCAATCTGGACATTATAGAGTATGTAACTGTCTTTGCAAAAACACACAAAGGACTTAAGTGTCCAAAACCACTGACGATAGCTAAAATGACACTATAATTCATATATTATAGAGTATGTAACTCTCTTTGTAAAAGCATACAAAGATCATAAGTGTCCAAAACCACTGACGGCAGCTAAAATGACCCTATAATTCATGTATTATAGAGTCTGTAACTCTCTTTGTAAAAACATACAAAGATCATAAGTGTCCAAAACCACTGACGGCAGCTAAAATGATCCTATAATTCATGTATTATAGAGTATGTAACGCTCTTTGCAAAAACACTCTACAGTCTTAAACGCTGATTTATACTTCTGTCTCAAGCACACGCGTTTGATCCAGTGCAGCCTTTGCATGGTCGCATTCCTCTCGCAGTGGCTGACGCACACCTCTCAAAAAATATTGCAAACATGTTGTTACGATTCATAGCACAAGCTCTACGATTGGTCAGCTTGGTAGCGCTGATGAGTGTGGGTGGTGCTGAGAGCCGTGAGCCCGATGGAGCGAGTGTTTACAAGTGAATCGGGACGATCACTCGACGCAGAAGTATAAACCAGCCTTAACACTGACAGCAGCTAAAATGACCTTATAATTTAATTTATGATAATAGAAGTTAAATAAAGTCCTGTTGTGAGTTTAGGGTAGAAGTTTTAGCACCTTAATGGGGTTAAGATATAATATTGGTCTAAAAAAAAAAAAAAACTACTACCACTATTGTTATTATTAATAATAATAATAATGCATTTTATTTAAAGGCGCCTTTCATGACACTCAAGGTCACCGTACAGGACAACTAAAACAATCAATTCAAATAAAAACACAATAAACAATAGAACACAATACAAGCTTTAAAAATGCAATCGGGTCAAAGAGAATAGGCTGTTTATTATTTTTATTATTGTTATTATTGTTGTTAATAATTATTATTATTATCATCATCATCATGATCATCATCATCAATGCTATAAACAGTTGTGCTGCCTAATATTGTGTGAAAACTGATTGAAAAATGATTGACAATTTGACAAAGTTTTGATTGATTACAAAAAATCAGCATTTATTGTAAATTGTAAACTACATATCTTTGCTTTCACTTTTAATCAATTTAATACATTCTTGCGGAATAAAAGTATAAACTGTTTTTTTTATAACTGAACCAAAATTTTGGAACAGCAAATGAATTGATTGTCTGAGATTATGGGATGCATGTTGAATTATCAATGTTCAATCGAGTTGAATTGACTTACTTGTTGATCAGCTGAAGGTTCCTGCACTGCATATCCTCCATGGCCTCCAGCACAACTAAAGCCTGCTGGGAATTCAGCTCATCAGCCAATAGAAGCGCAGTCCTCTCTAACCTGCAGGACCAATCAAAACAATCAGATCACAGTTCTTTATTTATCTATATACTGTTGTCTTGTCTATATTAAAAACTGGCAGCTCGTTCTCTGCAACTCTCACATGGTCGCCCACTGAAGCTAAGCAGGGCTGCGCCGGGTCAGTACACGGATGGGAGACCACATGTGAAAGCTAGATTGTTGTTGCCGTAAGTGGTGTTAGTGAGGCCGGCAGGGGACGCCCAAACTGCGGTCTGTGTGGGTAATAATGCCCCAGTATAGCGACGGGGACTCTATAGTACTCTATACTGCATTATAGTGCTGTTAAACTGAGGGCTCGACTCTCTGGGGTTGTTAAAAATCCCAGGATGTCCTTTGTAGTGGGGTTTAACCCTGTCATCCTGGCCAATCATGGCCTCCTAACCCTCCCCATATCATAATGGGCTTCATCACTCTCCACCAATCAGCTGGTGTGTGGTGTTTGGTCTGGCTCAATAAGGCTGCCGTCGCATCATCCAGGTGGATGCTGCAGACTGGTGGTGGATGAAGAGATTCCCCCCTTTCTGAGTGCCCAGAAAACTGCTATATAAATGTAAAGAATTATTATTACTATTATTATTATTATTAAACAATGAACAATGCATTTATTACAGTATTTGTTTATGTTCGCTAACATTAGTTAATAAAAATACAGTCATTAATTGTTAGATCATGTTAACTCACAGTAGCATGACTTTAGATGTTGATAATACATTAGTAAATGTTGATCTATGAATAATAAATGCTGCACAAATATTGTTCGCACTTAGTTTGTGTTGGTAAATGCATAACTAATGAAACCTTATTGTAAAGTGTGACCAAAAATGCTAAATAAAGATAACAAAAACTGTTAATTAAATAATAATTATTCTCCATACTCACTCCTCTCTGACCCCTTGCCCTGCTATGGGTCCCAAATAAGAGAAAAGTTTGGTGAAAACATCCGGATCAGTTTTTCCATCCATCAGCTCCATCAGTCTCTGTTTCACAGCCACCTTAAAATAACTGCTACTGTACTGCAAAGTGTGATACAGTCCCATAATGATACCGATGGCATCCGTGTCCAGATGATCAATGTTCTGCAGGAAGAGCTGATTGCATTTGTCCAGCAGGGGTTTGTGGATGTATCTGCTGTTTTTGAAGAACTGCACCACTCGTCTGGGGTTATTGAAGCGAAACGGGTCCATCTGGTCCAATAGGGTGTCTGCTCTTTTAATTATTGAATCACGCAGTTGAGGCGACACCAGGGCGTAGATACTGACCATCAGTGGTGTGAGGACTCTGGAAGGGGGACATGAGATAAATCATTGGTATTTTTGGCTGTACTATAGACCTATTTCTTAGAATGCAGAATTACCCATTATGCTTTGCATGTACGCGTAAGGAGAATGCTAAGAACATCGGGTCGGCAACTTGATGCGTATAAAGAGTCACATTTGGAGAGCTTTGAAATGATAGTTTTAATCTGTTTTACTTGCTTTTAACATCTTTGAACTAATCCTGCTGTTGATCAGCGCCACCTTCTGGACTGATCATTTTAAAAAGGGGATCTAATAGGAATGAAAAGCATTTTGTGAGTCATTTACCATTACCTTCAGACGGCAACTTCTACCGTTTAAATGGACCATCGTCATCGCTAAAGTGAATATTTTCTCTTTTTTCCAAATATATAACCAACTTGAACAAATATAAATTTACCATAATGTTTGACACACACACACACACACACAGTCCCACTAACACATTGAATAAAAGAGTGGCACAAAGTGAAAAAAACCTGGTTGAACTGTCTGACACATTTTCTGCACATTAAAATACAGGAGGAGGATGATCTCTGAGTGGTGTTCTCCAAAATTAAATGATGAATAGACTAGGACCTATTGGTATGTGTGCAAGGATTATACATCTATAACCACCTCAGTAAAAATTGGGGAAAAATTGGGGTTCCGAGTCACTGGCATTGTTATTTTGGGGGTCACGGGCTGAATAGGTTGGAAACTCCTGGTCTACAGAGCAAAATGATTAATTTAAACTATTATGTTTAGAAATGTGTTGAAAAATTCTTCTTTCCACTAAACAGAAATTGGGAGACAAAATATAAAAGGGGGTTAATAATTCAGGAGGGCTAATCATTCTGACTTCAACTTAGAGTGGTCTGCTAACACATGACAAAATTCGTTTTTAACCAGTTAAACTCTGCTGCTATTTTGGGATTTCTGCCTGGATTTTGCTTACCAAAATTTAAAAGCTTCCCAAATCCACATGCAGAGGTGTAAAAGCAAAAATATGGTATCATTTTAAAGAAACCCCTTTGAATTTTCATAAAACACTTCTGAAAGTGTTTAAAATAACTGTATATGACGTCTGTGTTATAATAAACACCTAAAAAAAGAGGCGCTTTTTGTGTTTTTTTTATGAACTCAAATTTGAAAGTGTACCTTTTAGGTTCTGGTCTAGCATGCTGTAATTAATTTTGGTGGTTCCTGCACATGTCTGTAATCATAGGAAAAAATTAAAAATGTCTCTACCATAATCTATGCAAAAGTTATTGTATTTCAACTGATGAGAGGTGCTATACAAGCCACAGGGATCGATCATTGTTTTCATATTTCACTATTCTTTTGTTTGATCAAACATTATTCACTGTGTTTAGACTACGTCAGTTGTATAAAAGGATTACTTATGCACATCACCTCAAAAACAGAGGAGAATGGCCCTGAAGGGCACAGCATAAGGTAAGAGATGACAGCTGTCTGTGCTATCTGGGGCTGCTTATTGATCATAAATGTATTGTTTTCACTTCTGCGCCATGGAAACACCGCAATTCATTTGGCAACTGTTTGATATGTGAATATAATTCAGTAAAAAGAATGCTAGAACCTTATTGGCACCGGCAAGAGCTTTCATTTGAGCTATCACTTGTACATGTGTCATATATGAACCATATGAAAAATATAAAAAATGAATAAATACCAAAGTG